ATAAAGAGAAGGAAGTAAAACATAAAATAAGCTCCCAGGTTTCAAAATCATCTCAAAATCACTCAGTGGAGGAATTTAGAATCACATTCTGAGATAAAGGGGTGTAAAGGAAAATGCATGTTCAATTTGAGAAGCTTTATGGGAAGTAAGCATGAAAGGAATATGATCCATCCTTAGATATGTTATTTGTTATTTGCCATGGATGTTAAATTTTGTTGCATTGGAGATTAAAGGATTTAGGGAATTGTTGAATGGGGCCGTGATTAGAACAGAAATACATAGATGTAATTACACATATAGAGATAAGCTGTTTCTCTGTTTCTAAGCTATGGAAGTCCCTTCACAGATAAACACAAGGTCTGTTAGTTATATTACTTTTGTTTGATGTCACTGTAGTTTGGTTGACTTTCCTGTCAAAATAATATTTTTTAGTAACAATTTTTTAAATTGACACACTTCTGATTTTTCTCTATCATTTGTCTATACCATACATAGAGCATTTATCCAGAAAACTAATTTAGCCCAAACGTCTGTATTTAGGGTCAAGTTTATTTTAGCATTTGTAATACTATTAGTCATTTATTCTATAGTCCAATCCTGATTAAGAGGCTTCTTTATTTAGTTTATGAGCTTTTAAAAAAACATCAATCTCTGTGTAGCCTAAAGCATTGACTAAAAGAATTTTCACATTGAAAGGTCAGATGTAGAAGAAAGGTGATAAGGATAAATTGATGAGGAAAGCTGGAGGCCTGAGGACTGACAGCAATGTCTGCAGAGTCAGACAAGCTCAGGTTCAAGCCTGGGCTAGCATACACTAGCCTTGCGAACTTAGCCAAGACACTTGACTAAGCCTCTTAGCTTAGCGTGTTGTGATCCTTAAGAGAGAAAATACAAGCAACAGGCTTACAATAGTGCCTTGTACACCATGAACTCTCCATACATATTAGCAATTAATAATAATAACGTATCATTTCTAAATTATTCTTTAAAAAGATACATCCTTAGAAATCGTCTTCCCCATTTTGGTAATTTACCCTGTCTCCTTTTCTAAACTTGAACTGAAATACTATACATCACATATTTTCTTTAAAAACATTCATGGGTTTTGAACCACTTAGAATTAAGTTAACATCTCTGGGGCGTTTAACATGTATGTGGCCTGATGAATAGTCTACTGTTTGGAACATTTCTAGCATATTTAACTCTACTATTCATGGTTTTAATGTTAAAAAGAAAGCTTCCTTATTATCCCAATAGTCTTTTTCTATTTCCATAATGAATATGTGACAAATTATAATTCCTTTTCATAACATGTTCTATATCATTTATGCTACATGTTTTGGTGGTAACTAATAAATCAGAATAATAGAGTATAGTGGTCTGTGGAGTTAGTGATGGGTCTAGTAAGGGCAACATTAAAATTCCTCCTTTCTTTGTCATCAAATCTATTCACTTTCTCTTTCATATTTATTGATTCAATGGCCTCCATCACTCTCAGGAAAAAATTAAATCTTTTTTCATGGTCTATAAGGGCTTGCTCTTGGCTCTTCTCCCAAAGGTATTGTCCTCAGTTCTGTTTGATTTCTCTCTTGCATTTACACATACTCAAAGCCATTCAACAATTACATATCTACCACTTATTACCTGCAAGACTTTTAGCTACGAAGCTTCAGCTGCCTCGTTTCCTCCTCATATTGTGTCATTCTTGCTGATCTCCCAAGAAAGGAATTTTAATTATTAGTCATAATCAGATTCACCTATGACTTAAATGTCTTTGCAGAATATTGGAGCGGCTATCTATCAGCTATCTATCTATCTATCTATCTATCTATCTATCATCTATCTATCTATCATCTATCATCTATCTTTCAAACCATTGGAGCTACATATATGTAGATATCTAACTATGCTTACATATCTTACAGTTTGTAATTTTTCCTAGAGCAAAGGACCATGCATGTTACATGTTCAAACCCAGCGCTTAATATCAGGACAGCAAAACAATAGACAGGTTTTGAACTTAACTAAATAAAACTAACTTGTTTGAAGTTCCAAGGAATTAGGTGTTTATATTGAGAAGGGATATATCAAAGTAGTTTTAGATATTTAAAAACCTATATACTTCCTAAATAAAGAAGAGAGGTGTATTCTATGAAGTGTATTTATACACTTGAACTAACTCGAATACTTTGAATGTGGCAATCTGCTAAATTCTTTACAATTATCATGAAGGTTATTCTTCTTTCACTTAAAACACAAGAGCTGTTAGTCACTCCTATAGTAAGCTTTTTTAAATTTTTCTTAATACTTCTATTGCAAATCGAAAAAAATTCTAAGAACTTAACTTAGAAGGAAATAAAAATAAAACAGAGAAAACTACTAACAGGAAAATAAAAATAATATAAAAAATCAAAACATTATTTTATATAGGATAGAAAGATAATAGCTGACTAAACAAGAGGAGGGACAAAAATCCAAATCACGTACATTAAAAACAATACTTAAGTATGAATGATTAAGAAAAGTAGAGAACTATAATTAGAAAATAAGAAAATATTTGATACAGTATATGTTTTAATGATGTATATTTTAATACACATTTATATATAATATATGTAATATAATATAAAATACAAAAATACTTTTTATATCAAGGAATAAACCAGGGAATGTCACTGAAAAATGCTGGGTCCTACCCATCTGATGGTACTTCTGAGGGGTGACAAGTTTTTCGGATCAGTTTATCCTCAAAAAATAAAATCTCAAGGTGCCTTAAATACTAGCCAACCCTTTCTTTAATCTGATGTTTGATTCTTTTTCACATCAGTTGACTGTCATTTGGGAAAGGATTTTATGACCTTTTTCATAGTCATTTACTAAGAGGGGGGATGAAACATGTCTCACTCACTGCAGACTGAATCTAGTTCCAATCACGGCAATAAAACCGGCCTTTGCAACATTCCCACAAACTCACTGATCCATGTTAAGCTCTCATCTTATTTGATTTCATTAATTCCCTTTTTGAAACACCCTCTATTAGTAACTCATGTTGACTTTGATTTCCCTCCTACATAGAAGATTAGGTCACCTTTGCTGGCCTTTTCCTTAAATGTTTATTCAACTTCAGAATTGTATCCTGAACGTTCCTTTTGTATAACTGGGGGTCTCCTGCACCACCGTTGCTACAATATCCTTCTATATGCTGATCCGTAGCCTCAGCCCAGATGGATATCTTGAGCTGCCAACCTCCACCTCCAAATATTACTAAACATTTTTACATAGAAGTCTCAAGAATATCAAAATTTCCTGTCTCTTCTGCTTTTCTTCTTTAGCTTAGTGAAAGCTTCCACAATGTACCTACTGCAATTGCCTAGTATATTAAACTATCAATCTTGTTTCTCTTATTACTCATTCTCTGCCTTTCTTACTTCTAAAGATTTACAAGGTCATGATGACTACTTCCAAAGTGTTTCAGATTTTTTTCTTGCCTTTCCTTCTTTCTTTCTCTTTTTCTTTCTTTCTTTCTCTTTTTCTTTCTTTCTTTCTTTCTTTCTTTCTTTCTTTCTTTCTTTCTTTCTTTCTTTCTTTCTTTCTTTCTTTCTTCCTTCCTTCCTTCCTTCCTTCCTTCCTTCCTTCCTTCCTTCCTCCCTCCCTCCCTCCTTCCCTCCCTCCCTCCCTCCCTCTCTCTCTCTCTCTCTTTCTTTCTTTCTTTCATGATTTTCCTCACGTAGANTTCTTTCTTTCTTTCTTTCTTCCTTCCTTCCTTCCTTCCTTCCTTCCTTCCTTCCTTCCTTCCTTCCTTCCTCCCTCCCTCCTTCCCTCCCTCCCTCCCTCCCTCTCTCTCTCTCTCTCTTTCTTTCTTTCTTTCATGATTTTCCTCACGTAGAACATCATCTTTCTCATACGCTTTCATTTTAGTCTCCTGATGGTTCTGTCCCAAGCTTTGCCTTCTGATAATCTATTTTCCATTTTACAACAAGGTCAGTCAAAAATTGAAATTCTTCTCCAATAGACCTACCCTTGAACACCTTCTTCTGATGGCTGTTTAAAGCCTTTAAGATAAATGTCAACATCTTATTCCTCTAGGACTGAGCTAGCTGTCCATAATCCTTTAAGTCACACCTTAAATGTATCTAAGAAACCCTCTCCGTCACCTTTTCTGCCAGCTGGCCACCAACCTTGGAAGTCTAAATTAGGTGATCTCCCTATGTGCTTTTTTTTTTTTTTTTTTAATTTTTAAAAATTTATTTGAGAGAGAGTGAGTGTGAGTTGGAGAGAGGGACAGAGGGAGAGACAGAGAGAATCTTAAATAAGCTCCATGCTCAGTGCAGAGCCTGATGTCGGGTTCAACCCCAGAATCCTAGAATCATGATGAGCTTAAATCAAGAGTCGAATGCTTAACTGACTGACTAAGCCACCCAGGTGCCCCCATCCCCACTGTGCTGCTATAGTGCATTCTGTCTCATTGGTCATCACACTGTAAGACTTTTTCTTTTTTCCTTCCTTCCTTCCTTCCTTCCTTCCTTCCTTCCTTCCTTCCTTTTCTTTATTTTTTGGTCTGTATCTCACACTGAACTGAGCTCTTTGGCAGCAGGAAATTTCTCTATCATGGTCATATTATATCACTAGTATGTGGCATATAGCATAGCACATAATCGGCACTCAATAAATAATCATTATTATCTAAATAAATGAATGCATTTGAGAAAAAAGTCCAAAATCTTTTGCAGGCTTGAAATTAATTCTAATAGCTCTCCTTTATTCTAATACTTTTTTATTTTACCTGAGAATTAAAAAACTAATAGCATAGTTTTGACACACTTGGACACTGTAAACATGATCTTAAGAGAAGGAATATAGTTTCAGTGGTAAAAGGTACAGAAAATTGTCACTTTGTGAATGCTAACTTAGAGATGATGTATATATGTAAATCTAACATATTTACATATATATAATGAAATTTCAAATTTTCTAAGAGATGTTTGTTTTCCTTTTTTCAGGAGAAGACAGCACTCGCTCCAATACTGGTAAGAATTAATATTTTCATTTTACTTATTTTATTATTTTGTTGCAAAGTTTATATATATATTTAATGTTAATAGAGTTTTCCATTATTGTCTAGTAAAATAATTTTATAAGGACACATGTTATAATTATGAATTATTTCTTGAATTACAAAAGTGTTCTTGATATTTTCTTGTTCTTAATATTCCTGTTTATAAGATATAAAGTTTGATAACTACTTGAATGTATTATTTGTATACTTGTTATTGTGTATAAATTATAACTTTTCTTAAACTTGACAACAAATTGCATAACAGGATTCTAATCTCTTTTTAAATTTTAACATTACAAATAATTCAAGTTAGGTTGCAAAATTTTATACTCAAAAATTTGTATAGGAATTTTCTGAGAAATTAGAATTCTAAATATATTATATATGCTTAAGTATATATATAAATGCTTAAATACATATATACATATATATAATATATTAAAAAAAGCTTTGAGAGTAGTAAGATGTTTTATAATAATCATTTCCAGATTCTATTGTCACAATGGAATTAATAGTCTTAATGAGTATTCTAATCCTGAGATAGATTAAATTTAAACAATGAAGATGTTAAAACAAATGCGTACATATTACACTCAAAAATAAGAGAGGAAAGTACATTTCATGTGGTTAAAAATAAGTTATATCACTTAAATGTTATTGTAATATAAAATGTATTACTGATTTCCTGATTCATCATACAGTTGATAGTATGCATTAAGAAGGTAAGTAAAGCCACTAAGACAATTCTGATTTAATAATTATAATGCACAGTTGTAGTTATGTACATTCAAAATGTTCTGAGAATTGAGTTATTAAAGGAATTGGTTTTGTAATTAACGAAAATTCATTCTGAACTATGGAAACAAGGAAGTATGTGAATACTAACAAAATGCTCTTGAACCTGCATAAGAAGCACATTCTCTTATTTTTTAAAATATGTACTGTTGGAATTTATGTTTGTATACTATGGCAGAGAAGTTTTATAAATACATGAAAGTCATTAATGCATAGCAAGATATGATTGGTTTATGCCAGCTACTCTCGTGCATTTTAGCATCTCCACCTTTTACAAATGATGAAGTTCATTCCAATCATATAAACTGGTTATTGCTGCAGGAGGGGAATGGGAATGAGGTAGAAATAGGGGATGAACGCTTAGAATGCTAGATGGCTCATCACCTTACTGAGAAAGTTTCCGTTATCTTTGCACTGTTACAAAAAGCCTCCAAATGATGATATCAGGTAAGTCAAAATAGTGCCCCAAAATGCAAATGAGAATGGCCTCTTGCAAATATTATGAACAGGAATGTGATCAGTGGAAACCAGTGATATCTCCAAAATGAAAATAAAGGACAATGTACAATTGGAGCATGTTTTCTCATCCTGAATTAAAGTCTTGTTTATTTAACCAGGGGAGGTGAACTGAGGTTAAGATGTGTGCAAGAATATTAAGGCTTCTAGGGAGAAAGGTAGTTTTCTGAATACTGTTTTTTCATAGACCTTGGACTGAAGTTACTTGATGAGGTACAATCTTTAGGAATGCTGCTCTTCAACAAAGCATAACACTATTATGGGAGGTATTTGGCGTGATTTTCCTTCTAGTCTTTTTGTAATTCAAATCTAAAAGATAAGTGGGCGTGGGTGATAAAGGGAAAATGTCACATTTCTCTCAGAGCTAAGGCGAGCATTGGAATTGTGCCAAAACCAAAGACAGGTTAACCGAAAAACAACAAATTAATAATTGTTCAAGTCTATAGTGAGGAAACTACATTAATGGTCTTGCACAGAATTTTAAGCACCTCCTCCTCTCCTTTTCATCTTCTTAATCTCTCTCCCTGTCTTTCTTCTTCCTGTCTTCACTGCCGCCGCCACCCTTGCCCCTTCCTTTTATTCAACATAGAGCAGGTGAGAGAATATGTCAAGTAGGATTTAGGATTTTACACTGAAGACGGGAAGGAGTGACTTGCCTATCACTTCACTAGATACGTTGGCGTGTATTACGGGCAGAGGTTTGCTAGTAAATACGTAGCTTTGTGTGTTATTAGATTACGAAATTCTAGAGATTGAAAATTTTCCTTGGAAAACAACAACCGTAACAAATGTACTATCACTTTGTATTTCAGTAACCACAGAAGAGTTCTACATTATTTTACGTGCTTGGGGCGTTGGGGCAGTTCACTACGGCTTGGATGGTTTTTATCTGGACTTAGTCAACACTGATTTCACTTCACCTTGAATGAAGCCAGGACTTCTCTGTGTCCTTTCTACTTCCATTTTCTTAATTCCCTTAAAATCCTTTCATCTTTTCCAGTTCCTCCCATCCGCAATTTCCTTCCATAAGTGGTCCCTTTTCTCTTACTCATTTTTGTTGGACTGAATTGTTAAAATACTTGTGTGATATTTAATTTTTTGTTAATTAAATATTGAAAAACATAAATTTGATGATTCACTGAAATGAATATACGTTAAACATAGAAAACTTAGGGGAAAACCCCACATCTTCATAAGCTCAGTATCCAGAGATCACAATGTGGTTTTTTTTTTTTTTTAAATAACAATTTTGGTGTATTTCTCCCCATTCTTCTATAAGGAAATACACCTTCTGAGTAAAAGAACACAAAAGATTTAAAGTCTTTTAATATGCATTGCTAATGTGCCCTGCAGAAGGCTTTTATCAGTTGTATACTTCTATCAGCTATGGGTTCCCTATTTCAGCACTACCTGGTCACCTTGTTTTTGTCTTCTGAAGTGAATTAAAACAGTGGAAAGTGTTATTGCAATATCTCAATTTGTGTGTCTTATATTATCACAAAGTCGAAAACATTTTTGTAGACTTGGGCCATTGTGTATCTGTTTGAGAATTTTGTTTCCCTGTCTTCTATCCAATTTTGCTTTGTTTTTGATTTCCGAAAATGAATCAGTGTGAGGGTACCTGGCTGGCTCAGTCAGTAAAGCATGCAACTCTTGATCTCGGGGTTGTAAGTTCAAGCCCCATGTTGGGTACAAAGATCACTTAAGAATAAAATCATAAGAAAATCAGTGTATACCTAAAACTTTTATCTTTCATCCCCCCCCCCCCCCCCCCCCCCCCCCAGGACACTAGTCCTCCTAACAATCTCCTTTAAACTATCTTTTTCTAGTGCTCATTGATAAGTTTTTTTGTTTTTTTACAATTTGTTATCAATTTTCNCATTTCACCCATCCCAGGACACTAGTCCTCCTAACAATCTCCTTTAAACTATCTTTTTCTAGTGCTCATTGATAAGTTTTTTTGTTTTTTTACAATTTGTTATCAATTTTCTTTATATGTTTGCTCCATCCTTTTGAACCCAACTGCTTTGGACAGTTAGGAAACCAGAAACTGAAAGGGAAGAGGTTAGGGAATAGCTGCTTTCAATTTTATTTCCCCATTTGTATCTTTAGCCACTACATCTAAGTCTTTGTATGTATGTATGTATGTATGTATGTATGTATGTATCTGTCTTCTATCCATATGTATATATGTATTTGGTAAAATATACATGGTAAAAATCATGTCTATATGTTTTGTGTATTTACACACACACACATATATATATATATTTATATACACACTGTAATGGACTGGGGAGTTAGTTAACTCAGATGAGTATATGTTGCAGGATATGATTCATGTATTTATTTTGCTTTCCTTTTTACATCTCCCATGAATATCATAGGACTGAATTCAACAGAAGAGCCCAGTATTCTGGCTCCAAGAGACCCCTTACCTGCCCGCATCACTACATTCTCACTTCCAAGCATCTCTGAAAGAGAAAATAACTCCTCAGAGACCACGCCTACTCTTAGTCCAGACAATCCTTCAACTGAAGAGACCACGCCTACTCTTAGTCCAGACCATCCTTCAACTGAAGACTTCCTGAACTCTTCAGATAATGCTAATACTCTTAATGTGACAGGTCGGCACAGAGGTGTTAACTGAAATGAGTTTAGGAGAATTTGTCTTTCTTTTTGAATCTGAAAGTTATCAGAACTGTTTTTCTTTCAAATAAGTGTGCAATTTCTACATATGTGGTTTCATTCAAACATAGAAAGTGTAGAACATCCAGGTGTTCATGAAATTTTGACTGATCAAAGTAATGAAGGCACGTTGTTAAGGAGATGATGGGTAGGGAGACAGGGAAGCCCCTGTAAGGAAGACTGGTTGGAAAAGGGAGGGGAGTTTCTTCAGTAGCCACTGAACTACATGCCCTGAGTCATCATCCCCTTTCTGCTCACGTGGGATTTCTGTGATGCCAGATCTGTCAGAACTCATTTCAGGACTTTGTCAGTCTTCCCTCCTTGGCTGTAATTCCAAAGTAGAATCTTTCATTGTTGAAATCCAAAATCTCAATATCAGAAAATTACTGGAGATAAACAATTTATTTTTTAAAAAACACACTGAGGATCAATAATCCAGCTTAGTTGTTTGAATTTCCTCCAGAGATATTGGCATTTAAAAAATAATCAAGGTTGTGGGTCTTATGGTGGAATTTAGGTAATGTGGCCACTTTCATAGCAAAATACCAGTGATGTGGGAGGTAGTTTTACCAGGGAAGACCACTGACACTCTTCAGAATTCCAGTAAATCTGTGATTTGCTCGTTATATATTTAATGTTAGGTCTGCCAGTGTATTTGGCACATAAGTCAACCATCATGAGGGTTATTTATGCCTTTTCTGAAATAACGTGCTATGTTGTCATTTTTGGAGGCAAACAGGTTTATAGACATACTTTGATTAGAGAATAAGCTATTTACCTAACAGTACTATTAATCTTAGTTTGAAAAACAAGTAAATTTAACACTATCTCAGAAATTTGGCAGAGGGGTACATTGTAATGTTTTGAGTACCATAATGATGAAGTTTATTGGCCATAATAAGCAGGTAAATAAATGATAAATGCCTCCTTATGTTGATTACAGAACTGTAAATTCAGTCTTTGCTCCATTTTTTCCTTCCACCTTAGCAGAGTAGTGGCTAGGATCTATCTAAACATTGCAAACATTTGGATCCATCGCCCAAAATATTAACAAAAAGAATGGGAGAACGAGGATGTTAATGGTTAGGTAGAACATTCCAGGCTAAACTGTTTTACTGGCTGAGTAATGTCACACAGTTTTCCATTTTAAAGTTTCCTCATTTTGCTTCATGTACACAAGCACACACATATCCTATTCCTTATGAAGCAGAATGTGAGAAGAAAATGTTTAAAATGGAATAGACTGGAAATAAGGATGAATAATACTAAAATACAAACTTGCGCTGACACAATAATACGATGGTAAGGTTAGCTTGGAAGACTTCCTACATTTTCAGATAAAATAAGACATTTTATCCCCCTACAAAATAACTTTGCTACCCGGTGATACTTGAATTATCTACTGGGATAAAATCTGTATGTGTGATTTAATTTATGATTGTAATTGATTTGTATTATGGAATACAATCCAATTTTCCTGCTTACTGATATATATAAGTAGAAATTTCCTTAATCAATGTTTCTAACACTATAATATTTTCAAGCATTTTCAAAAATGAATACAATAAGCATCTTTTGCATAACATTAGACTTAATTATGTAATATTATTTTTACAAAAATATTTTATGCATGTTGCAAAACATCAACATAGAAGTATACATAAAGTATATACTTTATGCTTATATATACTAGTTTACATATAAAGTATTTTTTTTTTACACACATACACAATGAAAATACTGTTTCTCCAAACCCTGACCCTTAAAGATCCAATTTTATCTGTGGTGATATCTCCTCCAGACTCTAGACATGTGAGTCTCTGAGAGAATGTGGGTGTGTGTGAACTGTTACCCCACATCTTTTCCAATACTAGATATTATTAATCTTTCAAAACTCTGCCAGTGTGATAGTTAAAATATTTTATTTTAACATTAAAAAATTTCATAGTGATGAGCATTTTTGCATATACTTTTTAGTCGTTGTATACATCAGATATCTGTTACATGTCTTGTCCATTTTTCTATTTTTTTCTTTTTTTTATGATTTGCATATTGTATATTGAGGACTTCTTTGCTGATTCTGCCCACGAAGAAATACCCCAACTTTCAGTTTGTAAAGTTGAAGGAGAATTCAAAAAGCTCACAGAGATTTGGAGGAAAAAAAAAAAAAAGAAAGAAAGCCACCTGGAAACCTGAGTCATCTATGACTTAATCAGGGTCAACTGGGCCCCAGGGAGCCTCTGGGAATATGTAAATGAAGAACTCAGGTGCCACCTTCCTGCCAGGGAAACTTAAATAGAGGCAGACACACATTTTAATAGATTGGGTCATTTCACGGTTTAGTAAACAAATATACTGATAACGTCTCAGTATTTAAATGTTTCCTCTGCAGCAGGGAAATACTGAAATGATTTCACTTTCTTACCTTAGGAGCTACACAGCCGGCTCCCTTCTCCACGCACGCAGACTCGCAGGCGCCCTCTGCCGGATCTGACACGCAGACACCTAGCAGCATTGCTGCCTCTCCCGCACTCACCCCTGCTCCGGGGAGGAATGACACATCAGGTTTGCCGGGCTTTTAGATTTGTGCAACTGTGAAGAGAGCATGACAGCTGCCTGTGTTTCAGAGTGGTGTCAGGGAATCCAACCACTTGTTAAACGTGTAGCACTTGCTAGTTGGTTAATTTGGAATTTCATACTTTCCTGGGTAGCCTTAGATTTACGAGGAAACCTAATTAAGGCCCTTGTAGTACAGATGAAATAATAAAGAATGAGACTTAGGAGAATAAAGGAAAAGCCTGTTCCGGAATAAACAGTTATTCAGGGTATTCTGTACGTTTCTTCATATTGGGGCAAGTACCACTGCACAGTGAAAACTTTTGCTAGTAATGAAGAATAATATGTAGGAAATGTTACTGATAGACTTCTAACCCATAAACAAAATCATGAACAGTAAATGACTTCCATTATCAATGAAGGCCACTAAGAAATTGTAACCACAGTTTAACTGTTTTTTAAAAGAATGGAGGGGCGCCTCGGTGGCTCAGTCGGTTAGGCGACCGACTTCAACTCAGGTCATGATCTCACAGTTCGTGGGTTCGAGCCCTGAGCCAGGCTTTGTGTTGACAGCTAGCTCAGAGCCTGGAGCCTGTTTCAGATTCTGTATCTCCCTCTCTCTCTGACCCTCCCCTGTTCATGCTGTCTCTCTCTCTCTCTCTCTCTCTATCTCAGAAGTAAAATAAAACATAAAAAAAAATGAATGGAAAAAACTAGCGGCTCCATTTTCCCCATCCAAACATTAAGATTCTTTCAGCTTTCCATCTCTGTATATAAAACAGTGCAAAATATCTCCTCCTTTATCTTTCCAAAATCAGGGTCTAAGTGGCTTCATGGTGCCTTTTTTTAAAATCCTGAAAGACAAAAATCCACACGAATATATATAAAAACGTAGTGGCTTCAATGCCTGAAAATCAAAGATTAAATGGGAGAGCCCACAGAGCAGGCACTAAAGTGGCCTTTCTTTAAATATGAATCAAATAGGGAAGCCAGACATATCAAACAGAAGAATTATGAGGTATTAAAACTCTTCCCTTGGCACCAAAATCATTACAGGCAATGCACAAACTTGAAGTGACCGGGGAAAGAGCTGCCCTCCCCGCCCTGCCCTGTTCCATCCACTCCAGCTGCAGAGCTACAGTAAGAATTTCTGGAGCTTTTAGCAACGCCACAGGCTCAGAAGTTGTGGACGAGATGGAGCTGTAAAATAGCTAGAGGACTGGCCTGCAGCGGCTGATTGTCGCAAAACCCACTCCATTTGTCCTCCTGAAGAAATGCTTACTCTCATAGTGGTGGATTCCACTAATTAAAAACTGATTAGGATTCATTAACCTAATGAAAATTGAAAAAGCCGCTCCTAAATCAGCACTGAGATTACCTGCACAAGGAAATAGTTTTCACATGAAGGGGGAAGGCAGGGAAGTTGGGGAGAGACAGTAGGGGCTTTAGAACAGCATGAGGACAGGGGGCTCTTGGAGGAGGCCAAGGGAACAAGCATGTGGAAGAGAAGAAAGGAAAGAATGTGGAGGAACGAGGAAGACAAACCAGCTGAATTTTAAAAAAATATGTTTTTTATTTTACTTTTGGGAGAGAGAGGTGGGGAAGGGGCAGAGAAGGAGAGGGAGACACAGAATCCAGGCTCCAGGCTCCAAGCTGTCAGCCCAGAGCCCGACTTTGGGCCAGACTCAGGAACCCCGAGATCATGACCTGAGCTGAAGTTGGACTATTAACGAACTGAGCGACCCAGGTGCCCCAAACCTCTGATTTTTAAAACTCAGCAGAGGGTCATTTCTGCATCTAAAGTTTTACTTTGTTTTAGGAAAAATTAAACCCTCCTACTCTTCTCTATGTTCTGTTGGAGACCTTCTCTGGGGATACAGAACTGCAGAACAGATCTTTATGTTATTCATTCTACTCTATGGTTTAGTTAAATGCAGGGGAGGTAGTGGCTTCTGAAGACTGAGCTGAGAACCTAAACTCAAATTTTTGGAAGATGCCTTTTCAATGCTAATGGCTCGGTTTGTAATTGGACAATGCCCACTTGCTTGCCCTGAAACCGTTTTCAGAATGTGCATGCCTGTTTCACTCTGCTGAAACCCTAAGAATCTTACAAATGCAAGACTAATCTCATATCATTGAACCAAAGACCCCAGGGACCATGACAGTGAGATAACCAAACAATCTCCTGTAGAGGCTAGTTAGTATTTCTTTCTTTTTTTTTTTTTTTTTCCCATGGCAACTTCCAGAGTTCCAGTCCTCTAGAAGGCACCCAGTGAATACATACTGATTTCTTGTGCCAGAATTCTGCGTGTGATGTCTGCAGGAGGGTGTAGCACGCCTTAGGTGCTTTGAACCTTGGCAATGACATATTCTAACCAAATACACTGTGCGGTTTCTTTAGCAATGGCACCTAATTCTATATGTATTTGCTTAAGTGTGCTTGGAAAATAAGGAAAGGGTGTCTGCATGATGTGGAAGTTCTTTGGTTCTAAACCAATTTGATTTTTTCCTGGGAAGGGCAGTCAACATAGTGAAAGTAGAATTGTTACCTCCATCTGGAAAGGAAAACACCCTGAGCTCAGCAGCTGTAGAGGCAGAAGCCCATTCAGCTCTAATGTAAGAAAATTAGACCTAAGCACCTGCACCCAGAAATGCCTCCCCAGGGAGGTGCCCCCGAGGCGAGGTTTCCGGCACATGGTACATTGTACTTCCTCTTCTCCCAACCTTCACACACCCTTCTCCACCCAGAGCTCCGGGCCCGTCTTTGTCAGCACCAGCAAGCCAGCGCCCCACTCTGTCACTTGGGTGCATTTCCTCCATCACCTAAGGCATCCCTTGGTTGGAAAGCTTGGCCTCGCTGGCTTGTGCAAACAAGCTATCTCCTCAGGTGCCAAATACTTTTACAAGTGGTGTTCTGATTACAGAGCTGCCTAGGCGTTGAGTTGCATGATGTTATTTTTTTTCTGCAAACCCGGCTGGTTTTCATTTAGTTTTACAGAACGCAGACAACTAAGTGCTCACTTGTTGCTTGGCTTAGCCTCGATACCTCTGTTTATGCTGAGTGTCTGGCTGTTGCCCTTCTGTGGCAGAAATGGATGACCGTGATGGTGGCCTTTCTGATTGCAGGTTTTCCAGGAGAGAAGATTCCACTCAGCACCTTTCCTGCAGACAAAGCTTTCACACCAGTAGCGACCCTCAGCCCCGCACACAGCAGCCCTGCTGCCCTTAGCTCACTCATCTCCAGCATCACCTCCAAAGATAACTCCTCAGGTTTGGCCACGGTGCCCTAGGGGTTGTAGGTTGTGGATAACAAACTGGAAATTTGAAGCTTGAATGCAGTTCTTTTATGTATTTCATACCACATGTTGTCTGCAGTGAAGTTTCACATACTGACATCAAATTAGCCAAAATAAACTTGCCAGTAAGCTTTGTTTCTTGGCGTACCTTATTTTGTTATTCATATAATGAATGTTCATGGCAAGGAAGAGAGAAAATAGACTTGAGTCATATGGCCCTGGGATCCAATCCATTCCCGTTAAGCTTCTGGATGACTTTTAGCACAAGCTACTAATAGTTTTTGTGTGATGGTTTTCCCTTCTGTAAAAATGGATATTACAATATTCATTTTAGAGGGTGGATGTGAGGACTGAATATGTAAAATGCCTGGGAGGCAGTGAATGTTTAAAAAGACTAAGTGGGATCCTTATTAGTAATTAAAATAAGGAGGTTATTGAAGGAGAAAGGAGTAGTTTCAGGAAGATTGCACATCAGGTAAGAATTACCCCAACGGATGAAGAGTTTCTCTCAACTTATTGAATGTCAAGCTCTAATTATTTGAACTATTGGTTATCTTAAAGGGCCACTGGTAGATAAAGCTTTGGTTCACTTTCTTATTTTAAAAACAAGCAAGTGTCAATTCCAATGATTCAGTGAGGAAAGAAAGAAAGAATCTTTGCTGAAGAGTTTTTCCCTTGACCTTCATTATGACAAACTCATTAACTTGTCTTCTCTGTTCATTTCCTTGCAGATTTGAATCTTATGTCCACTTCACCCGCAACAAGCATTACCTTAACAACTGCTCCCACAACAATAGGTGACAACCTTACCCTCAGCCATGCAATCATACCACTACCACGTACCTGGGATGTGCTCATAGAAGGGTCTTCCATTTGCTCTCCAGTGGGCTCCTTTTTTGGAGAAGTTCATTTGAGTATTCTAATCATGGGGGGGCTATGGAATAGCAGTTCATCTTACAACACATATTTTAGCTGTAGAACAGCTGGTGAGATCAGCGCATAATGTTACTGTGATATCATATCATTATAACATCCCCCAAGAGTTGTGTACTTTATGCAAATGCATAGAAAAAGGATCAAAGATACTGGGACTTCTTTCTCAAAGAGTGGGCTTAGGTATTAGTATGAAAAAGAACAATTCTATCAGTGGGTCTCTGCCTTCCAAGTGGTGACTCGCAGAGGGTTGATTGCAGAGCTCCAGTCATGGAGCATGAAAGCAAAGGCAAGGGATCTGAATGAACTTGGCAATTGGCAGTGACAGTCAGTGGGTCGGCCATGGCAGAGCCTGCAAGCCCATGGTTCTCTCCCAAATTTTTCTAACTCAAAGGCCAGATTAGCAGGATCTCTTAGCTTTCACAAAGCACATTTCCGCTCTTTCTTCAGTTAAATGCAAATATGCTTCACGCACGATATGTTTCAATTTGTTGAAAGACCCTTCATTACCCTGCATCCAGTATATGTACAAAGAAATTACAAAAGTTAAACTGGAGAGTGAAGCAGCCTTTGCTGATTTTCTGATTTTTTTCAACAAAGGTGTCAACTGAACTCTCTAGGGGTTATAATGATATAAATCTATTTTGAGAGTAATCAAGGGGATGAGGACCTTTACATGTGTTTGGTTACATGAATAGTTAGCCATGTCACCACACCATAATCAAAAGTGTGCTCAAAAAAATCTCTATATTATTATTATTAAGTATTATTATTATTACAATCATTATGGGTTAAACTCATGAAAATGTCTTATATAACTAGCTCATTAGTTTTTAACATTTGAAGTTTGAGACTAAAACATTGTCCTAGGCACTGCAAACCCTGAGTTGTCTGTTAAACCTAACTCATAGACTTTGAAGTCGAAACATTATAAACCCCCTCTCCCAAAATGACTATAGCAGAGATGTTATAAATGTTATAAATAAAACCTTAATAATTTTCGTTCTCTCTTTTTCTTCTGTTACAGTTACTACTACACCTAAGCAATCATGTGGTAAGTTTGTTAATTTGGCGACAGTATATATCACTTTAGAATAACACTTTCCTTATCTGCTTCTTCATTCCAAATCTCCAAGACCCACTAGCAACTGGACTCACTGGCTCTCATTTCACATCAATGATTAGCTCCAAATCTTAAGAGCCTGTGTCCTTCAGAGGCAAGAAACTTTGAGGTCATATTCAGACATAAGATTTGAACACCAGAGTTAATAATTACTAGCTAAACAACTTTGGTGAAGCCACTTCAGTTTGGGTATGTGTGAAGTGGAAGATAGCAATTTTGCTTTGGGGTGGCAGGAGGTAAGGGTATATTGTAATGATAAATGTGAAATGTAGAGAATACCTTCAATGCTTATCAATAAAAAATCTGTTTTTGTCTCTGTCTTGCCAGGGTGTGGGTGAAAGCAGATGTTTGAGAACAGTTTGTACAACCCTTTTCCCATGTTCCTACTCTCTTCTCAGAGAAAGTAGAGTTTTTCATGGTCGAGGCTTAACCCTCCACACATTTCTAAATCTCACCACTGAAGTCTCTGCCTTCAGTAGTTGCCCATGCATTAAATGTAAAGATCAGCCTTCATATGTTTTCTTAATAAATATGGTCTTTTCTGATCATATTCCTCTTGTATTATTGCCTCTTGATGCTCTTCACTTAACGAATATGAAACTACTCAAAGATTCCTGAACACATAATGTTTACATCCTGCCTCCGTGTTCTCTCCTGCTCTTCTTCCTCTCTACTCAGAATTCCACTCCATTCTCATCCAGCACACCGATTCCCACCATCTATTTTTCTATGTCCTGCTCATATTTTAAAATATAAACTGAGTAACCCAGCTCCTCTGAGAGCCTCTCCTATCCCTACACTCTGACTAGATTTCTCCCTACCTTTATCCCTTATTGTTATGTTGCACATAATCTTATTTTAGGGGTTTGCACATCTGTAGCAACTCATCTGTCTGTCTCCACGTTAGCCTCTACAAAGCTGATCATTTGTATTCCTAGTATTCCTTGTATTCCTTGTATTCCTAGTATTCCTTGAGACACTGTCCCAAGCATAAAATAAGGGCTTAATAGTGTTCTTTGGATTAAAAATGAGGGAATGAATTAGTATTTGTTGGAAAGATATTTTTACCATTCAACAGAATGTTTTTTAAATAAAGAAGAGAATGTGATGTAGTGATAAGGAGTAGTACTTAGGAGGGTCCGTTATCAATAATTTTACGTAAGTAAAAGAATAATGAGGCTTGTGGTCCCTGAATCAATGTTCCACATATTTGGAGAAACAGGTAAACAACAACTGTATTTTAGGAAGTAAGGGAAATGATAAAGGAAGAAGAAATTCATCAGATGTTTCATTCGCGTGTCATTTCAACAACTAATTCAAGCAAGTGTGCCCCTACTAATGACAGGTTTTATGTAATGATTTGGGTTTGTGGTGATGTTCAAACTAGACTGCTCTTTGCCGTCATAGAACATATAATCGAGTTAGGAAGATAAGACATTAATCTATTAATCATCCAAGTATAAACTTAAAAGCTGAGGTCCTTGATGTAAAGGGAATTTTGAAAAAATAAATATGGATACATCTGATGTGATTGTTCTTTTTTTTCATGTTTCTGGGGATATTTTGTTAGATACTTGATATTTTTGAAAATCTATGTTGAGACTCTTGAATTTGAAGTAAGCTTATTTGTTCTGAAAAATTTTTACAAAGGGAATCCTCACTTTTATTTTCTTTCAGGTGACAAATATGCAGATATCCATGTGACTTATGACTATGAAGCTAACTCCTTTACAGCAAAACTAAATGTTAGTGGTGAAGTGGAGTGTAACAATCCCACATGTTCAAATAATACGATCCCTAACCTAGCAGCATGTGAAAATAAGAATGTTACTATAAGTCATTCTTCATGTGTTCCTCCATATAAATTTTTAAAATTGGAGGTACCACCAGGTAAATATAAATTGGTTTCTATTTGTATTTTTACAAAAAAGTACAATTCTACATGTCTTGCATTCTAGTGGATGAAGGAATCTTTCAGGTAAATGCACAGGCATGAGGGAAAGGATGTCAGCAGGATTCTAGTGGGTGAACTTTCTGGTCTTCTAACCCAGTGAAATTAGGAGTTCATAAGCCTTCCTTACCCCTTACTCCCCCTCCCTATACTCCTTTTACAGAGTGTTTCATGTAGATTAGGTATTATTTATCCCACCGTGGATAAGTGATTACCCACAATCTTTCTTCCCCTCCCTACTTAGTTCATGTCATTGAATATATATGTGCACATATTTATTCCTCTAGATACAAGTGTGCCTGGAGTATATTGGGGTAAAACCCAAAGTCAAGGATTCGATGTTTGTGTAAAGAACAAAAATACTTGCACACAGTAAAAGAGAGTTATAATCATGTTACGGTGATCAAGTCACTTTTGCCAGCTCACCTGCTGCTGGGAAAGAAGAGGGGATGGGGGAATCAAGCCCACTCCACTGAAGAATATAACAAAATGCATTTTGGAAAAGGGATTCAGGAACTGTGTAAATTTATCAGCTCTTTCACATCACCTAATAATTCAAGAACATTGATTTGTTAAATTCAAATAGGTTAAAGTTTGCTTCCATATCTTGGCTATTGTAAATAATTCTGCTTTAAACATAGAGATGCATGTATCCCTTTGAATTAACGTTCTTGTATTATTTGGGGAAATATTCATCAGGGAGATTGCTGGATCATGAGGTAATTTTATTTTTCACTTTTTGAGGAAGCATCATACTATTTTCCACAGTGGCGGCATTCCCACCAGTAGTGCATGAGGTGTCCTTTTTCTCCACCAACACCTGTTGTTTATTGTGTTGTTGATTTTAGCCATTCTGATAGTGTGAGGTGATAGCTCTTATAGCTTTGATTCACAGTTCCTTGATGATAAGTGACGATGAGCATCTTTTCATGAGTCTGTTGGCCATCTGCATATCACCTTCGGACAAATGTCTGTTCATGTGTTCTGCCCATTTTTAAATTGGATCATTTGCTTTTTGGGTGTTGACTTGTGTAAGTTCTTTATATGTATTTTGGATACTAACCCTGTATCAGATATGTAATTTGCAATGACATGGATGTAGCTAGAGGGTATAATGCGAAGTGAAATAGTTAAAGACAAATACCATATGATTTCACTCATATGTGGAATTTAAGAAACAAAACAAACAAGAAAATGGAAAAGATGAGAGAGAGAGAGAGAGAGAACAAGAACCAGACTCTTAACTATAATAATAAACTGATGGTTATCAGAGTGGAAGGGGATGGAGGGATGGGCTGAAGAGGGTAGGGATTAAGGACTGCACTTGTGTTGAGTACAGGGTGATGTATGGAAGTGTTGAACTACTATATTATACACTTGAAACTAATGTTACACTGTATGTTAACTAACTGGAATTAAAAGAAAAACTTAAAAACTAGGTTAAATTTTGGTATTTTTTGAAAAATGACATTTAACTTATTCATTTTTTCTAAATATTACTGAAATAAATTATTATTTAGAAACAGAAAACGACAGTTAAAGATGTAGTCACCAAGACAGAACCCCCATACCTATGTAATAATAATTTAATAAAAAAATCACAGAGTAAATTAAAAAATTGAAGATATAAGTAAGATAAAATGAAGTGCTTTAAAATGTGCAAAAAAAACCCCCCAATTTCATCTAGAAACTTGCTTGAGTTCCATTTTTTAAAGGTAAGATAAATTCTAAATAAAATGCTGCCAATTAAATGCTTTCCAGAATGTGTGATGTTAAAAAAAGAATAAGCTATATAATTCAGCATATAAAACCCTGAATTATTGGAGTTTTTAAAAACTTTCAAAACTAAATGTTTGTCAAAGACTATATCATGAATATAGTCTCAGTGACTTTAATTGAGCATATGACACATATTATGAATCATTAATCATCTATTTCTATATCTTCTTTTTGACAGATCCTGAAAGTTACTCTTTGGAAACTTGTACAGAGGCTATAAAAGCAAATACTTCTCTTTGTTTAAAAGTGGTAAAAAATAAAAACTTTACTTGTGATGAAAATAAAATTAGATACACACTTACATGTGGTAAGAATATAACTTTGATTGGAGTACTTTTATGGTAGAAAGTTGTTCTAGATATTATCTAATCGTCCTTTCCTTCCTTTCTTCCTTTCTACCCTCCTTCCTTCCCTCCCTTTCTTCTTGCTTTTCTTTCTTCTCTTTCTCTCTCTCTCTTTCTCCTTGTCTCTCTCTCTTTCTCTCCTCTTCCTCCCACTCTCCCTCTCCCCTCTACCTTCTTTCACTCTCTTGTGGTCCATGAGTTTTATGGAGTCAAAACATTGTATTCACTATACCACTCAAATTCACAAAATAGACAAATACTTTCCCTAAAAAATAATCTTTGAAATAACAAAAGTCAATTAATTTATAAGAATTTTCTTAGCAACTATTATACATAAGGCATTGTTGAAAATGTTATCAGGGGAGGGTGTCATAGAAAAATTATGATACACATACTGTTAGAATAAAAAGAAAAACAAACGTAAGATCATATGACTCAAGAGATTATGTGGTCAGCCCTCCATCAACAAAATTCATAGATGACCTGAGGAACATTTACATGAAAGAAAAGTGGGAAAAGCACAGTAAATGCCACTAGGAAAATAGATTTGGGTTCAAACTGGGGACAATAATTGAGATACCAGTTCTTTTAAATAATTAATGATTTAATGTTTTTTTCTTTTTATTTGAATTTATTAAAGTGGAAGCTCTTCCCTTGGTGTAAAGCCATTTGCTAAGTCATATTTGGCAAGACAAACAGACACACAGAGGCACATACACACTACACAAAGAATGCAGTGTGACACTGAATGTAATCATCATGTTGTAAAGAAGATTCACAACTATGATACGAGCGGTATGAAGAAAGCAAGAACAGATTTATAATGAATTGATGATAAAATAATAATGTAGTTAAAATATCTATTAGGCAAAGGCTAACTCAGGTGGATTATCAGTTTCTGAGCAGAGAACTCATTCCATCAGTGAAATTAGAGACACTGTCAAATTCAGTTAAACTTTTTAATATTTTCTTTAATATTAGGGGTATCACCCTTATCTGGAAGGGGAGATTCCATCATCACAAAGGTGGTTTTCGCAGGACGAGGCTTATCTATCGCACTCCGGATGTGCTGACCCCTGAGATTTCCGCAAATGTGGGAAACTCGAATGCACAATTTGTGGTAGTGGGGGACTATGTTTCCACTTTCCCCTGGAAAAAAAATTGAGTGTGGCAAAATCACGCATAATTTTAGTAGTTTTTATTATATTTTACTTATTTCCTATTTGCTATAGTTTTCAATGTAATAGATATTTATTACAGATATGAAATCTAAAGAGAAAGTTAAATGTGATTATTGTATTTGTACATGTACTGGTACACAATACTTATTTCTTTCAGATAAATTTCCTTCAACTAATAAGAATTATATTTGTTTGGAACCCCTTTCACCTAAACAAAATTATTCCTGTAATTTCAAAGTAGTCTACGATTCCCATGAGTTTTTGAACAAAAATGGAACCTTTGAAACAGACGTTGGAAGTGAGTATATTACTTACCTTATATGTAAAATTTCTTTTTATGTTCTTATAGTTGTTTGAGAATCAAAGAAAATAATGTTGTAGATTTGGAGAAAGGGTTTCAGAAATTGGATATGTATCAAGTTTTAAAGTAGAATTTCAAATGGATGATAGAAGATCCAAACTTTATCAAGTTATGTTGTGTGTTTATTTTGTTTGGTTGTTTGGGTTTTTTTTTTTTTAACTGCAAATTATAGGCCATTGTGAGGTTGTGGTGGACACAAAACTGAGGTACATGAAACGGTTTGTTCACTTCCTTCCCATTTCCTCCTGCAGCCATGTTCCTTTCTTGGTGCACTACAGCACCCTCTGCCCTTCAAGCAAACTCTGCCTTTGATAGAAGTGGGCACATGGCTATTAAAACGCAGTGGAGAATCTAAGTATTGGTGGCAATATGATAATTAGTGTTACTAAAATGCAAGCAATACAAATAATAACAAGACTATAAAGTTAATAACAATTGGAAAAAAACATTTTGGAAAATAGTAGCATTTGGGAGATGGAGGGAAGAAGGAAGTGAAAAGTGCTAAAATTCCACTTTTTTTCAGCGGACTCCAATCTAGAATCTGCTAGAAAAAGTATGTTAATAATGTGTATGACAGTTTATGAGTAACCACCAAGAAAGAAAGGCAGAGAGAGGAGGAATGCAGGTGGTATAGCCACTTTGGAAGAAATTTGTAGTTTCTACAAAACGAAACTTACTCTTACCTTACAATCTAGCCATCACACTCATTGGTATTTGCTCAAATACTTATGCCAAATACTTATGTCAAATACTTACTTGGTACTTAAGTCAAGTACTTAGTACTTGTGTACTAAGGTACACAAAACCCTGCACAGGGATGTTTATAGCAACTTTATTCATAATTTTTGCCAAAACTTGGAGGCAACCAAGATGTTGTTCAGTAGGTGGATACACAGTACAACCAGACCCTGGAATATTACTGAGCACTAAAAGGAGATGAGCTATCAAGACATGAAAAAACATGAAGAAACTTTAAATGTTAATTACTAAGTGAAAGGAAGAAAGTCTGGAAAGGCTGAATGGTTCTAACTATATGATATTCTGAAAAAGGCAAAATTATGGAAGCAGTTAAAAGATCAGTGGCTCCTGGGAGGAGAGGGAAGGGTGAAATAAATAGAACACAGAGGATTTGAGGAACAATAAAAATACTCTATATGATACCATAATTATCGGTACATATCATAAGACACATTTTCTCAAACCCATATAATGTACGACATGAAGAGGGAGCCCTAATATGAATATAGACTCTGGGAGATAATGATGTGTCAATGTGGGTTCATGACTTGTACAACCCTGGTCAGGGATGCTGGTAATGGGGGATACTATGCATGTGTGAAGGCAGGGGAATGTGAGCAATCTTTGTACCTTCTGCCCAATTTTTCCGTGAACCTAAAAATGTTCTTAAAAAGTTAGGTCTATAATAGTAATAAGAATAATAATAAATCATGAAATAAGATTTATCCCAATAATGTAAGAATCCTTCAGCATTAGAAAATAGCAATTAAACCATTTTACATATCATTTACTTCAGGAAAGGGGGAATTTTTGCAAGATCATTGCAAAGAAGCTACCTTCTTTATTTCTTAATGTTTATTTATTTTTGAGAGAGACAGAGACAGAGACAGGGCATGAAGGCAGAGAGACAGGGAGACACAGAATCTGAAACAGGCTCCAGGCTCTGAGCTGACAGCACAGAGCCTGATGTGGGGCTCAAACCCATGAACCATGAGATCATGAGCTGAGCTGAAGTTAGACCCTCAAATGGCTAAGTCACCAGGCACCCCAAAAAGCTACATTCTTAAAAACAAAATGAAAAACTGTTCATCTACTATGATCCACCCATTTAAAGTATATAATTCAGAGGGTTATTTTTAATATATTAAGAGTTGTGCAATTATTGCCAGAATCAACTTTAGAACATTTTCATCACACCAAAAAGAAACCCCATATCTATTAGCAGTCTGTCTTCATTTCTCTTTCCACACCTGCTTTCCACACCTATGCAGTTGCCAACTGACTTTCTGCTTCAACGGATTTTGCCTTCCACTTGCCTAGTCTGGATATTTCATATAAATGGAATTCTATAATATGTTGTCTTTAGTGACTGGGTTTTTTCACTTAGCATAATGTTTTCAGGGTGCTCCCATGTTGTAAAATGTATCAATACTTTAGGGTTTTTTTTATAGCCTGATAATATTCCATTGTATGGATATAGCTTATTTTGTTTGTTCATTCATCAGTTGATTAATTTTTCCACTTTATTTGGCCATTATGAATAATGCTGCCAAGAATATTCATTTATGAGTTTTGTGTATACATATGTTTTCATTACTCTTGCATTCATACCTAGGATTGGAATGTGGGACTCATATGACAACCTAGTGTTTTGAATTTTAAAGAACAGCCCATCTGTTTTCTGAAGTGTCTACATCACTTTACATTCTCACCAAGAATCCGTGAGGGTTCTACCTTATCCACATCTTTACCAACACTCATTTATTGTCTGTTCTTTTTATTATAGTTAGCTCAGTGGTTGTGAAATGGTACCCCCTTGTGATTTGGAATAATAACTCATAATTTTGAGCATGGCTTTCAGGTTTTTTTTGGCCATTGGTATATCTTTTATCTATTCAAATCCTTTGTCTATTTTTAGATTTTTTAAAAATTGAGTAATAAGAGTTCTTTATATATTCTAGACCCAAGTGCCTTGTCAGACATATGATTTGCAAATATCTTTTTTGATTCTGTGAATTTTCATTTTACTTTGTTGATAACTTTAAAACTTATAAGATTTTAATTTTGATGAGGTCAACCTTATCAATTTTTACTCTTTTGCCTATGCTTTTTGTGTCACATTAAAAACCCAGTGCCAAATCCAAAGTCATGCAGATTTATTCCTACATTTTCTTCTAATAATTTGATGGTTTTACTTCTTGAATTTAACACTATTGATCCATTTTGAGTTAATATTTGTATATGATTTGAGGTCAGAGTTTGATTTCATTCTTTTGATGTGGCCATTCTCTCGTTCTTTATTTTTTTTAATGTTTATTTATTTTTGAGTGAGAAGAGAGAGACAGAGTATGAACAGGGGAGGGTCAGAGAGAGAAGGAGACAGAATCTGAAGAAGGCTTCAGGCTCTGAGCTGTCAGCACAGAGCCCGATGCAGGGCTTGAACTCACGAACCGCAAGATCATGACCTGAGTGGAAGTCGGGGTGCTTAACTGACTGAGCCACCCAGGTGACCCCCCTGCCATTCTCTTGTTCTAACACCATTTGCTAAAAAGACCATCTTTTCCCCACTGAATGGTCTTGCCAACCTCGTCAAAAATTAATCATAATGATGGGCTTATTTCTGCATTCTAAGCTCTATTCCACTGATCTACATATCTATCTTTATGCTTGTATCACTGTTGATTACTGCTACTTTATATACGTTTTGGAAATCAGAAAGTGTGATTCCTTCAACTTTGTTCTTCTTCAACATTGTTTTGAATATTCAAGTTTCTGTGGGATTCCATATGAATTTTAGGATCAACTTGTCAATTTATACAAAGTAGCCTAACTGGATTTTTTTTTAAAGAGAGAGAGAGAGAAAGAGAGCCTGAGTGGAGGACTGGTGTAGGTGGAGAGAGAGAGAGAGAGAAAGAGAGAGAGAGAGAGAGACTTAAGCAGGTTCTACACTCAACATGGTGCCTAATGTGGGGCTCGATTCCATGTCCCTGAGATCATGACTGGAGCTAAAATCAAGAGTTGGGTGCTCAAATAATTGAACCACCCCTGCCCTGAAAAGCCAGTTAGGATTCTGATAGCGGGTTGCATTGAATCTGCAAAAATCACTTGAGGAAGTAATGTCATCTAATTACTAATTAGTAAAAATAAATTATTAAGACTAGTTAATTACTAATGTTAAAAAAAGACTAATGTTAGTCTTCCAGTCCATGAATATGGGTGTCCTCCCACTTATTTGCCTTCTTTACATTATTAAACAAAAATTTTTGATAGTTTTTAGTGAACAAATTTTGTACTTCTTCTGTTAAATTTATTTCCAATTTTAAATTTATTCCTGATTCTATGCTAGTATTTTTCTTAATTTCATTTTCAAATTGGTTATTGCTACTTTACAAGCATACAATTGATTCCCTGTATTGAGCTTGTTGTCAGTCACATTACTGAACTTGTTTATTAATGATAATATTATAGAATTTTTGATAGAACATACTAAAGTTATTCTAAATTTCATATGGAAGGAGTTAGGTAAGGACTAAGGGAGCTGCCTACTTCTGCCTCCCAAGAACCCTTCAATACAAAATCACAAGAAGAGAATTAAACTACATTATAACTATGTCCCCAGCATACCTAGAAAAAATTAATACTTTTTGAATAGTAGGTGCTAAAATTTTTTCAATTCTTATAAATCAATGTAACAAAATAGAAATGGGGGGAATATATATATATATATAAGTGTAAAGACAATTCAGTGAGGGAAAGGTTATTTTTTTCTCAATAAATGATCCAGGTATCCCTATAGAAGAAAAGATGAACATTCTGTCTTTACTTCTCAACAAATATAAAAGTTAAGTCAATGATTTACAAACCTAAACACTGAGATTAAAACTATAGAATGTCTAGACAAAGACATTATAAAAAATCGCTGCTACTTTTGTGTAGAAAAAGGTTTCTTAAGACACATAAAGCAAGAATTTTATAAATTTTATAAATTAGACTTCATCAAAATTGAATGTTCTGCTCTTCAAATAAAGCCATTAAGGAAATAAAAATAATCAAGCCATACATTATGGCTTGATTAGAAAAATATTCACAATTAATTTTCAGCAAAAGAAATTTCTTCAGAATATATAGAGAACTCTTCTAAATACAAAATAAGGCATCCAGCAACCAAATTAAAAATAGGCAAATATTTTGAACATTACTTCAAAAAAGAAGATATGCAAATGGCCAATAAGCATATGTAAACATGCTCAATGTCATTAGCCATATGGGAAATGAAAATTTAAACAACTATGAGAAGATGATGACATTACACACCCACTAAAATGGCTAACGTTAAAAAGACCGACAATACTATTTGTGAATGTAAAGTAATAACTCAGAAATTTTAGTCTAGGTATTTATCAAAGAGAAAAAAAAATCTCTACACAAAGACTTCTATACAAAGATTCATAGCAGATTCACTCCTAGTAGCCAAAAGTCTGGAAACAGTCCCAATGTCCATCCCACCAACAGTTAAGTGAATAGGTAAAATGTGGTAGATCCTTACAATGGACTACTGGTCATGAAGTAAAAGAACTAACTATTGACACATGTAACAACATGAATGAATCTCTAGAACGTTATATTGAGTGCAGTATGATAGACATACAAAAGCACTCACTATTTGATTTTACCTATGTGAAGTGGGTGAAAAAACAAACTGAATCTATAGTAACAGAGAGCCATTCAGAGGGTGCTTGGGGTTGGGCAAGGAACGTGAATTGGCTGGAAAGTGGGACAGAAGAAATTTGGGGGGATGATAGAAATGTTCTATATCTTGATTGTGATGGTGGTTATTTAGATGCATATATTTGTCAAAAGTTATACATTTTACCTCAAATTGGTGTGTTTTAATGTAAATTATACCTCACAAATTGATTTAAGCATTTATTACATTCTTCATCTCAAGCTGGAAATTTCCAAATAATGACCGTTAAGTTTATTAGTACTTCCAATGCCAGATTTTCAGCACAGTGAAATCTAGAAATCCCAAGACACCTGAACAATAATAATACATATGAGAGAAAGAGGATATTCTCAGACATCTTTAGGTCAGTGGAATGCTTCAGCTCCACAGTGCCACTAGAGCTATATTTCCTATGTTAAGTGACCTCTAAAGCAAACTTAATAAGACCAGATGTCTTTCTTTTAATTTCATAACTAACTCATAATTAAGATGTGGGTGCTGATAATCATAATTATAATATGAAGAATGTTTGCCCATGTTTTATTTTTCATATTTCTTCCTTATTTCTAACAGGTCCAAAAGAACCTCAGAATGTTAAATGCAGTTCTAAAAGTTCAACTGAAGGAATGATCACCTGGGCAAGCCCCCAAGATTATTTTGATAATTATTCTCTTTGTTTTGTGAATATTTCAGGTAACTTGTATATGATTTAATTTCATGTCAGGAAAGATAAATAAAGAAGTGGAAAGCACTAGAAATGTGGATTGAACTAGTGAGCAACAACACAAATATGATGTCTCGTACAAATATGATGCATTTAGTACTGCTTCTACTCACTATGGACTCTCCTGCTTCTGACATGACTAAAGTCCGGAACACCCCCAGTATTTTCTTGTCTTTATCTGTCTTAGCTCTAATCTTTACGTGCTAAAGCCTGGAAAAACAAAACCTCGGGAAGATAATACTCATTATTGTCTTCCAAATATTATATGAGCTGCACAGTTTGAACTCATTATTGAGGCCCACAAAGAAACAAACAAATGCCTTTCAAAGTTTATTCCAGGTGATATACACAAAATATTGGGTGAATAAAAATGAACATACACCTATTTAGCCATGGAGGCCAGTTTGATGGCAGGTGGAATCTTGGAACATAGTTGTAGCTAAAGTTAAACTTTACAGAAACAAATGTAATCCAAATGTAGTCCAAAAAAATGTGCTATGACTAGTTCAACCATAACTCCTCCAAATGAGAGACTATTTAAGAAGAAAAACATCTCCTGGATAACTTAAAGTATCCAAAATGCTTGAAGAAAACTGTGAGCATCAGTGGACCTTGTCCAAGCAGACTCAGCACATGAGATAGCCTGCTTGCCTGTCTTTTACTTGTAGCTTAGAGAAGGTTTGAGCTTAATATCCTACAGAGTTTTATCTCTTTGTTTGCTGGGAAAGAAACAGACATAAATTTAATATTCTGAAATTGCTTGTCTTCAGCACGTTACTTTAGATTTTAATAAAATATTGTTTCTGCTGGTTGTTTGAAGCTTAATAAAATTACTAAAGCAAAGTTAAGTATACATGTAGTTTTCAGATTAGCATAAGAGGACTCAAAGGCTATGGAGAAATACACGCCTTGTATTTGATGCTGTGGTGTTTTCAAGTTAGGACTATGGGAAAGGAAAAATGGAAATTATAGGAAGACAAAACAGCAAGACCATTAGATACTTGCTGCTTCATCCGTCTCTAATGTACAGTCTCTCTTGGCCTGGATTTTGGAGGAACACATGGTGTGGCTTTCTTTTCTCTTCTTTGAATCTTCTTCTCAGTAGGCCTTGCTGTATTCTTCCCTTTCCATGTTCTTTACTAGAGAGTATTTTGTATGGAAGAGTATGTGGTAAAAATTTGTAAGCAGGGTTTATTGTTCCTTTGCATTCTGTACAGCTTTTTAAACGTCTTCTATTTTAATAATCAGGTTAATGAGGATGTAATTAGTTATTAGCAATCTGAAAGCTCTGTTGTACTTTAGTTTTATTTTCTTTGCAACGAGTACAGCTCTTTTTTATTTAGTGCTACCCAAGTGTATGGATACCTAAGTATAACACTTGAACAGAACTGGGGGAAGAGAAGGTGGAGCTGGCCAATATCAGGCTATGTGTGTCCTTTCCTCCAAAACTGTTGTTTGGTAACTGAATCCACCCTCTGCTCTAGATCGTGTACTGATTGTGCTTACCAAACCTTTTGGAACCAGCCAGTATATAGTGCATTCTCTCTTACAGCAATCAAAATCCACTCCTTATGCAAGATATTCTATTGTTCCCATTCACCTCAAACATGTGCCACCAGATCCTTTCCCTTTTTATCTGAGTCAGAGAGCTGATAGGGTCCTAACACTATTAAAGCGATTCTTTTAACTACTTTCATTATTTCAAATAATATCACTATTAAAAATCCACAGGAATAGTCTATGAAGTACTATTGCCGCTTATATTACTTTTAAATTAGGGATTGCATTTGATTTCATTATTTTCGATCATTTCAATGTCTCTGAAGGCTAGGGATTGAAAGAGGAGGAAAATGTAACTAGTATTTGTTTCGTTTCCTCTGTACTTTGGATGTTTTTATAATGTTTTAAGATTTTGTTCGACATTTCGGTAATAACTCTGAAAAAGGAAGTGCATAAGTGTGTTCATAGCTCATATGACACAACTGAACACCACGGACCTTCAGATAAATTTAACAGCTTGAAATGTGCTCTTTTTGCTACTGTGTTTTTCATGGTTTTTTTTTAAATTTTTAATGCTGTTTTTTGTTTTTTGTTTTTTTTTCTAGGAGAGAGAGAGAGACAGCGTGAGCAGGGGAGGGTCAGAGAGAGAGGGAGTCACAGACTGAAACAGATGTCAGGCTCTGAGCTGGCAGTCAGCACAGAGCCCGACGCGGGGCTCGAACCCATGAACCGCGAGATCATGACCTAAGCGAAAGTCGGACGCTCAACCGACTAAGCCACCCAGGCACCCCAATGTTTTTCATGTTTTTAACATTAAATACTTTATGGAACTGCAGTATTTTATATTAACTTAAGGATGCTGAGTGACAATGAAGTTCCCTCACTAATGGGGAAGAGACTTCTATGCTTTGTTGCATTCAAATTACTATTTTAAAAGGTTACTGAAATCAGGGTGCCTGGTGGCTTAGTTGATTAAGCGTCCAAGTCTTGATTTTGGCTCACAGTTCATGGGATTGAGCCCCAGTGTCAGTGCAGAGCCAGCTTGGGATTCTCTCTCCCTCCCTCCCTCTCTCTCTCTCTCTCTTTCTCTGATCCTCAACCCCCCTCCACTTGGACTCTGTCTCTCTCAAAATAAATAAATAAATATTTTTAAGAAGTTACTAAAATAAGTGTGCACTCTTCAAGATCACAATGATGGTGCTGGAAATTTCGTGTAATACTTTTTTTTTTTTAAGGAAAAGAGTTACTTCTTTTTCTTCCAGTACATCAGGTTTATATTATTTGGTTATTTAGCATAGTGTTCAAGAAGACACTTTAGAGTAGTCTAGGTAGTTGTTAATGAGTTTTTTGAAATATTTCTAAATAAATTTTTTTAATGTTCATTTTATTTTTGAAAGAGAGACAGTGTGAGTTGTGTCAGTGAGAGAGAGAGAGACAAGGAGACATAGAATCTGACTCCAGGCTCCAAGCTGTTAGCACAGAGCATGATGTAGGGCTCAAACTCACGAACGGTGCAATCATAACCTGAGCCAAAGTTGGACATTTAGCTGACTGAACTACTCAGATGCTCCTCCTGAGGTATTTTTTAAAAACCAAAGAAGTGGCAAGTGAGGAAGACAGTATCTTTCTAACCCTTTCCAGTGCCACATTCATGACTTGAAGGTTAGGCATGTCTGTGATGCTCTAAGAAAAGACATTTCAAACACTGCGTCACATAAATTTTCAGTGTGTTCCATACAGTTTGTGCTTCTGCTGTCAGAGTCCCTCCCCAGCAAAGGTGTTCAAACCCATGGAGGAGGCAAGAATATTCATGAAATTATGTTGCCATTTCAAACAAAGCTTGAAACTCTTTGCAATTGGAAGTGAACATTTTGAACCACCTTTCTAAGCACTGGAGACTTTAATCCCCAAACAGCAATATCTTTTGAACAGCATACTCTTCAAAATCAAATCAACGTTTTGACTTATGAAATTAGCTGAGATAAAATCTTCATAGAACTACATAAGTGAATCATTTTGATACAGAATGATTGTCAGGTTACATATGCAAACATACAAAATTAGGTCACTGAATGGAAGTCAGAATGACCTTGAGAACAGCATTTTGAGGCTTAGATTTCAGCTGAGTAAGAATTTGGGCATTGTTTTCACAGTCACTTCCCACATCAGGAGCTAGCAGGAGCCGTGAGTCAAGGTGTGTTGCCCGCCCCTCTCTAGAGCTCACACTTTTCCTGCCCTCAAAGAGAACTCTCACTAGGACAGGGGAGAATTGAGCTGGCAGGTGTAAATCAATTAACTCCAGCTTTGGAGATTTCTGAGAAAATAGACACTATCAGGTTAGATCAGTTTATCTTACTTCTTATTTAGCATGCCATGGTGAGGTAGAGATATCACTATAATCTCCATATGATGGATAAGTAACAGAAAAGAAATTAGTACATGTTAGAATTTTTCTTATTCTGTTTCTGCAAGTCCATAAGTACATCAAGCAGGAGCGGAGAAGTGAAGTATCCAAGACCAAAACACAAACAAACAAACAAAAACCTTTCCCCCACTGCAAAACCTTGTCCCTTCTTCCAGGCCAGACAGTATGCACAGTGGTGACGATGAGAGCCTCTGGTACCTCCGTGCCTGAGTCCCATCATGGCTGCGTTCTTCCTTTCCCATGAGATCATGGACTGATTGCTTAGCCAACCTATAGGGTTGTGGTGATGACTAATTAATTCATGTAACCATGTAATACAGTGCTTGGCACACTGAGTGACTATTCATTGTTTATATCCCCATCCTCCCCCCCCTCCACCTCCTCCTCCTCCTCATCATCACTATTATCAGTGTATCTGCTATCCAGCATCATGCTGCCAACTCTAATCTTCCATTAATACAACCTGATTGATGCCGCATGGCTACCTGAATGTCAAAACATATTTCAGCCAAGTCCTACCTTTCATATACCTTCCCAACCAGAATCTGCTCTCCTAGCCCTCATTGCTCCTATATTCAAAATGCCCCTTCTTGGGGTGCCTGGGTGGCTCAGTCGGTTAAGCATCCGACTTCGGCTCAGGTCATGATCTCACAGTTTGTGGGTTCGAGCCCCGCGTCGGGCATCTAGCTGATGACTAGCTCAGAGCCTGGAGCCTGCTTCAGATTCTGTATCTCTGTCTCTCTCTGACCCTCCCCTGCTCATGTTGTCTCTCTCTCTCTCAGAAATAAATAAAACATTAAAAAAATTTAAAAAAACCAAAATGCTCCTTCTTTCACTTGTAATGCTTTCTTTTACCCCTTACACCGACTCAGACACACTCCTCTGTCAATGAGCAGCTCAGTCTCCTACCAGTGTGCAATTTTCTCTCTCTGTTGTTGCCCTTTGAATTACTTAGTGCTTAAATTAGTATGGTAGAGTGGACCTAGTTATTAGTTTTCGAATGGATTCTGTGTGTAAAATCCATAAGAATAGCTAACATCAGTGTTCAAACTTTGAAGGTTAGGTATTAGAAAAAGGCTCACTAAAAAATAATCTTTCTAAAACAATACAACTCAAGACTTTCATAAGTATCACTGTGGGCTGTTTTCTCAGAAAGGAAAGAGACCACCTTCACAAGTGTACTAGAACTTATTAAATATATTATGTTCCAAAGCAACTATGTGAGACAATAATTTTTGAATATTTGATTTCTAAGAAATGAATTTGTTCAACACTTGCTGATAATAGTATGTATAGTACTTCTGAGCACCAGGGATATATTATATATTAATTCTTCAGTTTAGAGTCAGTTCAAAATGATTTAATGTAGACACCAAGTTAAATATGTGACAATCTTGAGTTTTAATGACTTAAATGTTTTCATTTTTTTCTTAAGTTAAATCTTGCATGGAACTGATTAAAGAGACGACCAAATATAACTTTACAAATTTGAAAGTTTTTACAACGTACGATGTGTCATTAAATGCTTACACCATGGGAAAAGTACGACGCAATGGACCTGTTGTGACATGTAGATTTCAAACAGAACCAGATAGTAAGTTATAAGCCTTGATGCTTTCTGTGAGTGACGAGAAGCGAAGTATGAACTTTTTAGTATACAATCTATCTTTCTTTATGCTTCATTGGGGAAACACATTGACCTAGCACATTTATTAACATCTAAGGGATTATAATAATTTAAAATACAATAATGTTAAAAACTGCTATCTTGGATTCTCAGTTTTCATATATCATCATAGAATTGTAAGAATGAAGCTTGAGGGCATATTAACTGGTATAATTTTAAGATTTCAAGCAATTTAAGCACCTAACCAACATAGGTAAAAATGCATTATCTATTGTTTCCTTTATTGTCTAGAACTATTAACAGCCAATGAAACACCTAATAACACCTCACCCACAAAGCATTCACTTCCTAACTTCTACTTACCCACTAACCTTATAAAACATAATATCTTATTGGCATTTTCTTCTCTTCGGTACATCAAGCTACCTGTTTTATTTTATGGCACATTTTTCCATTTGAAGTTTCCTTTCAAAGGCATTTGCCTGTTGCCACCTGTATGATGTCTCCATAGTTTCCAGACCTAATGCTAGATCTACCTCCAAGGTGGATGTTAACTCCATTAAGTCAGGAAAGAAGAAACGCCCCTGTGTAAGGCATATCCGTAGTCCAAAGACCTTAGCTGGCACCAAGTTCATAAAGAAAAATTGTCTTATTCAGGGCTGGATGTAGAATGCTACTCATGAAATTTAATGTAATTTAGATTCTGGTTTTAAAAGTCTAGATCCTTGAACTTTATGGTTTATGTCTAAATTTCTGTAAAGTCATAGAAAACAAAGATAATTTGTTGCTGTTCCTAACGAATGCAGCCAGGTAGGTGGTTACTAGGATAATGTAATCACCTCAGGAATAGGGGAACTGGGGGCGCCTGGCTGGCTCATGCAGTAGAGCATGCAACTCTTGATCTCGGGGTTATGAGTTCAAGCCTCACATTGGGTATAGAGATTATTTAAAAATAAAATCTTTAAAAAAAGGAATGGAAGAGCTCAACGGTATGTGGACCTTCATAACCCCACTCCCCCCCCCAGCTTTCTTTCTCTCCCTGCTCTTTTCTTCCCCTCTTCTCTACCCTCTCTTTCCTTCTATTTTCTAATTGTATATGCTCTCCTTATGGGGTGGCATAAACTCCCTTGACTTCAAGTATAACATATATGCTAATATTCTTTGAATGATTGGGTAGTTTATTTTTAGATGTTTTGTTGCAGCTTTTTGATACATGCACTATTGTAAGTTTCATCATCCATAACCCCCAAATTAATGTTTAAAATAATTTATATTGGGGGAGGCTGAGTTGCACAGTCGGTTGGGCAACCTACTTCAGCTCAGTTCACAATCTTGTGGTTTGTGAGTTTGAGCCCCACCTCAGGATCTGTGCTGACAGCTCAGAGCCTGGAGCTTGCTTCAGATTCTGTGTCTCCTTCTCCCTCTACTCCTCCTCCCTTCATGCTCTGTCTCTGTCTCTCAAAAATGAATAAATATTAAATATTTTTAAATAATAATTTATATTGTACACATATATTGCCAAGTGGTTTAAATATACTTGTACAAAGTGATTAAAGTAACAGAATTTTCTTCATTTTGATAGAGCCAACCAAAGTCACGAACGTACGTGTTTCTCTGAAGTCAGATAATAGTATGTCTGTGACTTGTAATCGTCCTATGGACTTGAATGGCCCCAGTAATGGCTCCTACCATCTGGAAGTCAAAACTGGAGATGCCTTGGTTCAAAATAAATCACTTAAAGATTGCAGCTTCCAAGTAGAAAATCTTCAATATTCAACAACATATGAATTTAGGGTAAGATTATAATTTCTATACTCAACTATAGTACTGATATACATTATAGTGATTATTATGTCATACTTAAGTAATACTAAGACTGATCGATGCTCACATGAGCTTGAGAAACTCTGTGTCTAACGAAATCACACTTTAAAGTCTTAAATGTTTGATTCTGAACTTCTTATCCTTAGTTCTAAGAACAATGGTTTCAAGCAAATATTTTGTTGGAATATTTTTTACCTTTAATGTAATTTACTTACGGCAAAAGTATTGGGCCCGTGTCAAGAAGCACAACATTTTATGCACAGTAGATCATTACTTTGTCCCCAAAAGTTTTATTAATCTTGACTTTTTATCTTTACTAACATGACATTCAAAATATTTTCCAGGTACACTGAGGTTAGAAAACAGTAGAAGTAAATGTTAGGAAATACCAGTGAACATGGAGAATTAAAAAGAAAAAAAACCTCATCTATAAGCTTACTGTCTACTGATTACATCTTATGAATCTGCTTCTAAAATGGAAAAACTCTATCTTTGTTCTGGTTGTAGGGAAAAACTGCACCTCAGTCTTCTCTTGTGTGTTCTTCTCTGTGAGTCTCCTGTAAAATTCGCATGCAACACCACACTTTGGATGCTTCTGGTTGCCAAATTTGTGTGGAGGTTTCTTCCCACAGTAAGCAAGTCTTTGTGGCACCAGCTGGGTGTCGTGCAATTTAATTGAAATCTGACACTATCCTGGTGATAGTGGCAGATTCCACAGGTTGAGGGTTCAGTCCCACAAGACTGTTCTACCCCACTTCAGACCCAACTGAAAGTAGTTGGTCTCTAGGTTACACTCAACTTCTGTCTGATTTGGCTACAAATCAGGGGTTCCTATGACCCTTTCCTCAGGCTTAGTTGCTGTTGCTCACAGAACTCAGGCTCACTTATCATACACAACTTTTCCTTTTATTTTTATTCAGTCGGATCTGTCAGTTGCATTTCTGATTTAATGAAAATTTCAACAGTCAATAGTTGACTATTCAAAATAATGTTGGCAATTGACCATATATATACAATTTTATAATCGTTCTTGTTTGGTTGTTTAATCAGACATACGTTAGACTTTATCATATGTTTTTATTGTACTATATTAGATGATGCCATGGTTGTGATGGCATGATATGATTTACTTATATGATGAATTCTAATGATAGGTTTTGTAATTATAAACCATGTCTCATTCCAAGAAAAAAGTCTTGCTCTGTTATTGTGTATTATTTATTGAAAGCATTATTGAATTCAAAGGCTTAACTTTTTAAGTCTTTATGAATAGACATTCATAAATGAGATCATTCAATAAGTGGATAGGGATGGTGGGCATAAGCATTTGGTATAGGTGTCGGCAGGAATCATTAGTATATTTTGCTATAAAAGTTGTGCTAACCTGATAAAGCAGATTAGAAAGGAATGTGGGTTTTTTTTGTTCTTTTATTCTTTTCAGACATTTTATACTTTGTGAATGTGTGATTTATATTTTTCCCATAGTCCATAGAAAAGAAATATTTTGTTAGTCCATAGAAAAGAAATATTTTGTTATTACATATAACGCACATAACACTTCATCTCCCATTACTTTTCCAGCACCCATTAAGCTCTATTTCTTTTCAGTTTCTTTTCAGTTTCTCAAGTGCACCTAGGATTTACTTTCTATAGGTACTTTACCTGATGTTCTTCTTTCTTTCTAGAATTTTCTTTTTCCATTCATCAATATGATAGGTTATTCCGAAAAAATATAGACAAAGATCATATTAAAATATAACATTCAAATTCAAGTTAGTAGATAACTACTTAGTTATTCATTCTTTTCCCCAGCCTTCAAAAGATCGTCTCTTGTTTTTTTCATTGCACACACCATAATTCATTTTCATGTTTCTTTCTGCCTCCACTACAACATTTATGCCATCACGAGGAACCGATCACTTTAGCTTTATTTATCATTGTGATCTCCGGTTAACAGATTGATAAAGTAATTTTTATCATTGCTCATTTATTACTTTTCTTTTTGTAGATTTACTTTTATGTTCTTCTGATAATTTGGGATTGAAAGTGGGTTTTTTAACCAATTTCTTTTGTTTATTATTTTAAAAAAAACAAAAAAGAAAAATTAAAACTATGAATTGTCCTTTGGTAAAATTTTGACTGTATCCCATGCTTGTGTTATTTACTGCTAATTTTTCAATGACTGACATAAAATTTAATAAGTGATATTTAGAGTAGAATGTTCTGATTATTGATTATTTCCCAAGAATTTATATTGCAATTACAAAGAACTTTTAATTTATCTGTTTGTTTGTTTTTTAAAGAGAGTGCTTCTACATTTCTAGTGCTTGGATTTTTATTGCTATTAGTTATTAGCTTTTAAAAGATAATTAGCTTTTACAACTTCTGCCATTTTTAAATATTTATTTATTTTTTATTTTTTAATGTTTTATTTATTTTTGGGAGAGAGAGAGAGTGAGTGCAAGTGGGGGAGGGACACAGAGAGGGGACAGAGGATGCCTAGCTCTCAACAGAAAGCCTGATGAGGGCTCGAACTCACAAACCACGAGATGGTGACCTGAGCCAAAGTCATACGCATAACCAACTGAGCCACTTCGCAGCCCTACAATTTCTGGGTTTTTTTGGAATTTATAGAGTATGCTTTACAGTTCAATGTACAATGAATATTTATAAATATTCCGTGACTACTAAGGAAATTATATATCCTCCAAAGGGTAAAAACTTAGATATATATTGTCCAAATTTATCATGTTTATCTTTCAATGATATTACTTGGACTTGTTTTACCTAAATTTGTTTTTTATTTTGCCAAAGTCTCTTATTGCTTTCTTATTCTTTGCAGTTTCCCTTGTATAATTAAATTGCTTTGGCTTTATTTGTCTTCAACATTATGAGACACAGGATGTATTAGTAGTTAGGTTGATACTGTACATTTTATCCTTAATCACTTGGGGATATCAATGTTTATCATTTTAACCCTTGTGAACTAAATATCACTTTATTATAAACATCGTGATAATAAAAATAGTTTCTATTTTCTTTTACAAATTGTATGTTTATTTTGTGTGTAACTTTTATAAACAGTATATGGTAGTTTCTCTTTTAAATAAAATGTAAAGATATTAGCCTATCACTAGGGAATTATAACTTTAAGTTTGAATATTTTGATGTGTTGGAGTTATTCCTTCAGTTTCACTTACTCTTGCTGATTATAAATATTATTATTGTTGTTGCGCTAAATAAGATAAGATTTCTTTATGTCTTTTCCACTATTACATATTTTCTTTTAAAAACTATTTGGTAATAAGATATTGACATAATCTTGAGGTTTCCATTTTAAATTAAAGTTAACCTGTACACTTTAAATTAAAATAGACAGTATTGTATGAGAAATAATGTATGTGTTTCATTACGATACCTAAATTTACATTAGAAAACTTTTTTCTGTTTTATTACTGGAATTCAGGTCTATTATTACAACAACCGCTATAAAGGACCTCCAGAAATTGTGTCTCAATCAACAGCTTGTAAGTCATTATGTGGCTGTTTATTATATTATATTAAAATATACATTAACACTTACAAACCTTTGTTATTTTACATTCATGCTTATATTTAATTATTAAATGTTTATATATTTTCCATAAACATAATATTTTACATTTTCTGAAAAAAAACCTGTGTAGATGAATAAACCACAATATTTTTTATTTTTAATATTTTACTTGAGTGTAGTTGACACACTGTACTACATTAGTTTCAGCTGTACGATGTAGTGATTTAACTTCTCTTCAATTTATCCTATGTCACCACAAGTGCAGCTACCGTCTATCACCATACAGCACTATTACAGCATCACTGACTACATTCTTTCTGCTGTGCCTTTTATTCCTGGGACTTACTCATTCCATAACTGGAGGCTTCTCTCTCCCACTGCTCTTCCCCCATTTTGCCCTTTCCCCACCTCTCTTCCCTTTGACAATCATCATTTTGTCCCTGGTAAAATACAGTATTTAAAATTCAATGAAGAGTTTCAATTATTAAAGGATTGTGGATTTCATAAAAACAATTTGTAAGAGGATATATCTGTATACACTTCAATTATGACTATGTTTATGACATTTTTCATGATTGTTGACAAATAAGTTTTGTTTTGCGTACCATTTTGGAGACTGTTACCTATTTTATCTTATTCTGTCCCTCAAAGCTAAGTTTGGTAGAAACAGGTGTTAGACACAAATCTGTCCTGATTTACCTAACTACAGCTAAGATAATCATTGCTTAAAAACAAGATAACTATTTAATTTTTTATCACTATTATTTTAAATATATTATTTATATTTATATATTTATAAAAATATTTTATTTATATTGAAATAAAGTTGGAGATAGAAAAAATCTCTTAAATTTAAATGTCATTATAATAATGAAAATAACAGCTCTGTGTCAGCACTCCCCACTCCTTGTCCTGGTCACCAAAGCAACCACTTTTCACCATTTCTGTTTTCAGTTCTTGTTACAGTATCTCTATATGTGCAAAGGATATTAGCTGCTCTTCTGTCTGATTTATTAACATTGCCCATAAATTTCATCCTATGGAGGAAGAAGACAACACACTGTTTTAAGTTTTTCAGGTTGTTAGCCATTTGCATGTTTATAAATTAAGTTAAGTGATTTAAGTCTCTGTGTGTACCAACTGTAGACAGTTTTTTAAATAAGTTTTAAACGTTTATTTATTTTTGAGAGAGACAGAGAGTGAGCAGGAGAGAGGCAGAGAGAGAGGGAGACACAGAATCCAAAGCAGGCTCCTGGCTCTGAGCTGTCAGCACAGAGCCCAGTGTGGAGCCTGAACCCACAAACTGTGAGATCATGACCTGAGCTGCAGTCAGGTACTTAACTGACTGAGTCACTCAGGTGCCCTGACTGTAGACAGTTTCTGATGCTATCTTTGCAATGTCTGGGTCTTACTCTCTTCCACACATATGCCTGTGTGCAAGTGTTAATGCTTTATTTTCCAAAGTCTTTGAAAAGAAGAAAGATATAAAAGCTTATGTTCCAAAGTGCTGTCCAAAGTCCTATGTAAAGTTTCTATTCTTTCTGCTAAGATTTATTAAATAAAATCTCCTAATGTATTTTAATATTCTAATTTTTTATGTTTATTTATTATTGAGACAGAGAGAAACAGAGCATGAGTCAGGGAGGGGCAGAGAGAGAGAGGAGACACAGAATCTGAAGCAGGCTCCAGGCTCTGAGCTGTCAGCCCAGAGCCCGACATGGGGCTCAAACCCACACACTGTGAGATCATGACCTGAGCCAAAGTCGGACGCTTAACTGACTGAGCCACCCAGAGACCCCTTAAAGCTCCTAATAGTAAATGCCCACCAAATTCAACCAGATAGCTTTGATTTTATTTCCATATAAATACTTTTCTTTTATAATTCCTTACAATAAAAACAGCTCCATTGAATTTTTTTCCTGATTATGCAGATAACTCCTAGCTACAGCATCTACTCTTGGGGGTCATAGACTCAGTCTGACATTTGACACTCACTCATATCTGAATAGGCCAGATGTGACACCAGTTCACTCAGGGAGACACAGAACAGGAAACACAGTGTGCCAGCAAGGGAGTGGCAATAGTCATAGCAGTGCACATGGCAGTCCCGGAACTGTTCTGTGACCCTCCCAGAGGCAAGTGAGATGTCAGAGAACCAGGTCACATGTGTGGGGGTGGTAGCTGCCCTTGCTCGGAAGTCCCATGTTAGGGAAGGAGTCAGTATTTCTTAGAATAGAGAGTAGCTTCCAGACATGAGAGTAGCTTCCAGACATGACAAAGGGATGTGCCCAGAAATAAGATGTGCCCTGCATTACTCCACTCAGGAAGACCTTAAACTGTGGCTTCCACCATGACACTGTAGATCATACATACACCTTCCTGTCTAGATGCAGTTTAGCAATCAGGGATCATTTTCACCATTGGTGACGTTGCCTAGGAACACAGCTAATATTCCACTTTTATTAGATTTCCATGTCAGTGGAGCTAGAGTGTTATCCCATGGTCCCTTTTCCATAAAGCAGAAAAAATTTTATTGACTCTTCACTCACAATAGCATTTTTATAAGAAGCAAATGATAGAATGACTTGTTATAGTAATGTCTTCACCAGGCAAAGTCTCGGGTTGTGACTTGCCAAGAATACACCTACTAGAAATGGATCGCTGAGCATAAGATTTCATTATCCTCGCTTTGACAACATTCCTGAGAGAGCTTCTGGGGCCCCTTTCTTCCTGTACTGATTTGGACTACCTAGGTGTACAGCTTAGCTGCTGTGGTAAAATTTTCCTTCATTACTTTCCTGTTTTAGAATTGCTACATCTGAGTCCCATTTGTTTTAAAAAAAATTACCGGTATATATTCTCTAGTGTAAGAAGAACGTATTCTAATTCGTGCACTCAAAAATGCAATGCTTTAATTCTACTCCCGCACTTGATCCCTACGTTGACCTGGCATAGAATTCCAAGTTTAAAAATCCAGTATTGAGGGGCGCCTGGGTGGCTTAGTTGGTTAAGCGTCCGACTTTCGCTTAGGTCATGATCTTGCGGTTCCTGGGTTCGAGCCCCGCGTCGGGCTCTGTGCTGACTGCCAGCTCGGAGCCTGGATCCTGCTTCAGAGTCTGTGACTCCCTCTCTCTCTGACCCTCCCCTGCTCACGCGCTCTCTCTCTCTCCTAGAAATAAATAAAACATTTTAAAAAATCTAGTATTGAAAAAGTATTTCTGTTTTGTTCTCCTGCATCCATCATTCCTTTCAAATGCCATCCTGTTTCTCATTCTTTTCTGTATTATCATAGTTTTTTTTTTTCTCTTGGGGACTTTTAGGCTTTCTTCTTTATTCTTGGTCTTGCATGAGTCTTGTTCACTTCTTTTCTTGTATACTATTGGACTTTGTGACCTGGAGACTTCTACCTCTGAGAAATGTTTTTTCACTCCATTTTCTTTTCGTTCCTGTAAGTCCTTCTGGAGCTCCCGTTGGTCACATTTTTGAACTCCTAAGTCAAATTATTATTTTGGAATCCTCCTTTTATTGTTGAGGGGTTCTTTGACAGTTTGGTTCTTACCAGCAGTTTGATCAAAGTTATAGCGAGACAATAGAGAAGATTGATTAGAAGTTCTGTGGCTCTTAGAGAGGCTGTTGACTGAGGAGATTCCCTGTATTATTTATGATTTATTTTCTCCAGTACCATTTATTATCTCTGGAAATTAATCAATGTACTATTTCCTGTAGTAGGGTTACAGTGTGGGAGAAATGGTTCTTCCCACAGTAGGGCAGAGGGACAGGTGTCCAACTATTTCATAGGCAGACGTAGACTTTGCCCTCTTAATTTCAGTCCTGGGCTTCATCCCTGCTCTGTTCTGAGTCTGAAATTACGTTGGGTCTCTTAACCTATTCCATTTAATTTTCTCAGAGAATAAACTTCTGTCTGCTTCCTCAAGGGTCTTTTCAAGGGGTATTTCATTTTTCTGTAACTAGACATTCAACTACCATTTATGGTCCTATGATTTGTTTCCACTGTATATGTGCCTCCAAATTTGAGACTCAAGCATTCCTGGTAACTGGTATAGATCCCATGCAGTATGGTCTTTTGGTGTTGGCTTTCTCTCCTTTGTTCTCCACCTTCCAAAACTTGCTGAAATCTTTCTAACTCTAGTTTCCCTTCTCCCATTCTAGCTGGCATTATGGGTCTATGCCACTGTCAGGTCTTTAAACTAGCAGAGTTCCTGGAAAGAAGGGAGAGAGATGTGTTCTTAGGTCATGAGATAAATCTGAAGGCTTGGTTGTTTTATCATTAATAAGTTTATCAAGGCTACTTAATGTTTCTGTAGAACCAACCCAAATTAATTGCTATCGATTGGAATGCTTACTCATAGTCATTTGGGGCAGTTTCTTGCAAAACCTCAGTTCAAGGTGTTCTATTTTTCTAGTAACGTGCTTTCATTTTAGTAATTTACTTGAGGTAGATGAGTTTAGATGATTGCCCCTTTGATGAGGTTTTTATCCACAAATTCTGGAAACAATCATGTCAATCAATATATCTGCCACTAATCACGGGTATATTGATAATTTTAGTGAAAAGAATTTGAGAAAAACACATTGGGTCATTTTGGAAGTCTGTTGCAATAAGAACTTCTTCTCTAAAGTATTCAATACAACCCATATAGCCTCACAATATCCTTTTAAATAAGAAAAAAATCATTCCCATTTTATAGATGAGGAAATTAAACTTAGATAATTCAATCAATTTATCTTCTGTTATGAGTCAAAAAAAATGGTGGAGCCAGAATTCAAACTCAAGTCCAACATCTGCTAGTCTCTATTTGAAATTAATTTTCTATATTCAGACTCTTAAGATTTCCAGTTACAGACATTTTGAACATGAGGCACCCTGTCTCTGGCAGCTGTCTGTTTAGCTGTGTCATTTCCATCTTTCAGGTTATAGAAAGTCTCATGGTCAAGAAGACTGCTACTGAACATGTAGATAGGTTCCCCTTACTTTCTTTCCACCCTACTCACTTTTTCATAAATCCAAGGAAAATACATAATTATTTTATTTGTTGGTTTACTTGTTTAGCATTTGTTTCCCGTTCCCCCAAAAGAATGAAGATTTCCTTAGAACTGGTAACTTCTCACGCCTTATATTCTGTTGGATCCCTAGAGACTATGCTAGTGTAGACACATAGCACTTGCACAGTAAGAATGGGATGAATGAGAAGTACCAATGAATTAATGTAATGACAGATGCTTTAACAGATAAACCTCCAAATCCCAGTGACATAACAGAACTGAAATTTATTTCTTACCCTATACCAATTGGTAGGTGTCTGTGTGCATGTAGGTGGTGGGGTTCTTTTTTTTTTTTTAATATTTTTATTTATTTCTAGGAGAGAGAGAGAGAGAGAGAGACACAGTGTGAGCAGGGGAGGGTCAGAGAGAAGGAGACACAGACTCTGAAATAGGCTCCAGGCTCTGAGCTGGCAGTCAGCACAGAGCCCGATGTGGGGCTCGAACCCACGAACCGTGAGATCATGACCTAAGTGAAAGTCGGATGCTTAACCAACTAAGCCACCCAGGCGCCCCCTGTTTTACATATTCATTCAAAACTTCAGGCTGACTGACATAGGGTTTGCATTTTTCATATATGGCTTCAAGTTTTGCTATGGCTGCCAACATCCATACAGCCACCTGGAGAAGAGAGTGTGTAGCATCTCTCCAGAGGGTTTAAACACTAGGCGTACCTCACTTCTACCTTTATCTCAGTCAATGTAGTCAATGGCTACATTGAACAGTGGGTAAAGCCGATTCAGAAGGAAAAGAAAATAGGTGTATTCAGATTCTGTGTCTCCCTGTCTTTCTACCCCTCCCCTGCTCGTACTCTTTCTCTATCTTTCAAAAGTAAATAAAAGTTAAAAAATTTTGAAAAACATGATTTAGGATGACTGAATTTCAATTTCCTCATCTAAAATAGTAAGAAGATCAATTCCTTTCCTATCTACATTAACCATAGCAAACTCTAGTAGCAATATTTAACACTGGTGCATTACTCTACATCCCCTTGATGTCCATCTACAATGTAAATTCATAATCAATCATTATGATCACTCTTGAAATTATTCTTGAATGCTTTGATCCCATCAACCACCCAATACTCAGATCCAACAGCTTTTTTTTTTCCTCTCCTGCATCATTATTTCCCTTTTGTGCTAGAGAAGTCTAATTAGTATGCAATTGTTAAAAGCAAACAACAACGACAATATTTCTTTTGACACTATTTCCTCTTCAGCCACCACTCTGTTTCATCTCCACACACACACACACACACACCCCAACAGTAAAGCTCTATGAAAGAGATTTGTATTTTGACTGTCTCTGGTTCTTCTGCTATTTTTCTTTTGGGCCTGCTTATTTCACTGAAGCTACTCTTGTCAAATTCAACAATGCCCTCTCTGATACTACATCAAAAGGTCACTTTCAGTCCTCATTGAATTTGACTTATCAGCAACATTCATCATAGTTGATTACCCCCTCCTCCTTGAAATACTTCCTTTTAAATTGGCTTCCTGTACACACTCTTGATTTTCTTCCTATTTCACTTGTTAGTCTCCTTTCCTGGTTCTATCTTTCCGCTCTAAGCTTTTAATATTGGAATGTTCAAAGACTTAGTCTTGGTATTTCTTTCCTTTATAATTTTAATTTCTGGGTGAATTATTCAATCTTAGAGCCTTAAATAACAGCTCCATGATGAAGATACTCAAAATTTATGTCCCGTCCTAAACTCTTTCTTGAAAGACTTATGGTATCAGAGTTCCAGATTTGCACATCCAGCTTCCTATTTGGCATCTCCACTTGGATGTCTATTTTTTCAAACTCACAGATCCAAAAGGGAGCTCCTGTTCTCCGCTGTACCCACAATCTTCCTCATGTCCATTAATTATAACTTCATGTAACTATTTCTCCTCACTCTAGAGTTACTAACCTGATATGAACCACTGTCATATTTTGCCTGGATTATGGCATTCTCAACAAGCAGTCATAAATGAGTGTAAAATGCATAGTCAGAGTATATTCCTGTTCTGCCCAAAAATCCTGCAAGTGCTGCCTGTTTACATAAAAAAATAATGTATCATTAACATGACTTCAAGGCCCCACCAATCTGGCCCTTGCCTCTCCCCTCTCCCTGTCATACTCTTAGGTGGCAGCTCTAGCTACTCACCCTTCACTGGCTCCACTTCAGTTGCAGGGGCATTCTTACTATTCCTTGGACATGCCAGACATGCTCCTACCTTTGGGTTCTTGCCCTACCCTTCCTCTGCTCAAACATGCAGCCTCCAGATATCTGCTTAGCTAACTCTCTTACCTGCTCAAGTCTTTATCATCTTCTAACCAACTTTACCACTTGCTTATTTGTTGTGTGCATTGTTAAGTGTCTTCATGTCAGCAGGTCGGTTCCATGAGGACAGGGATCCTTGTTTTGCTCTCCAAGGTGTCTTAAGTAACTCAATCGGTGTTTGGCATACAGTGAGACTCAAAACTATTTTTTTTTAATAGTGAGTAATTAGTCCTTATATATCCTAGACACCGTGCCAGTGTTTACTGTAAATCAACTCATTTAGCCTCATTTTTGGAAATGGGGAATGGAGTCACAAAAATAATGAAGATTCTAGCCAAGGCGCCACTTAGGAAGTGGTAGAGATAGAATTTAGAACCTAAGCAGTTGATCTCCAGAAGTGAAGCCCTAATTTCACTGCATTCTTTCTGCCCTTTGTATATGAAAAGTAAGAGATATTAATACAGGGCAAAGGATATTCCCAGTATGTTGTCTTTTCTCTGCCCTTTCTCCAGGAAAGGGTGTGGTTTCACCTTAAACCTTGGTGAACATTTACATGAGGATAAGGAATCCTAATGGTAGAATGAAACGATTTTGTCCCTCCATTAATTGCTTTTATACTTCAATGAGTAGGTAAGAAAGTTTGTGTGGGACAGAAGACTTTCTGATCTTTTTGGGAGGCTATCCACTTATGCACATAAAGTTAAACCATATGAGTTTCTCTCTGAGATTTATAATAGCTAGATTCCCTCTCTGATCCCTTCAAAATGGAATGAGTGAAAGAAAGAGAATAAATCGAAGTGATAGGATCACATAAAAGAATAGTTTTTTTTGTGGAAGAAAGGAGAGTTTCTCTTCTATATTCTGATTGCTTTCTTAAAATATAAGATGTTTTTATTTGTTTTGAATAATAGAGGCAAACTACAATATCAGGAATTTATTGTGTTTGGTTTCATTCTAAAAATTCAATTTTTGAAAGCCTCAAAAGACATGAACATATTAGAAATCAAAGTACCTTAAAGGTGATTATTCAAAGAACCCAGCAAAGTATTTGACATAATAGTCTCTCTTCGTGTGTTGTTTTGTATCTAGATAATTCTAAAGCACTGATTGGATTTCTGGTATTTCTGATCATTGTGACATTCCTAGCCCTGCTTTTTGTTCTCTACAAAATCTATGACCTGCGCAACAAAAGATCCAGGTAAGAGTTGATTTCAAAATGAAAAATAGTAGTAATAATGATGAAAGTATCTGTCTATGAGGCAAGTTTATAACCAGTTAAGTAAAGAGTAAGTAGAATGAAGTCCAGTTCATCAGGGAACTTTTGATCAAAAACTTCTTGAGGTCTTGTTGGTTTGCAGTAAATAGTAATATTGTCTACACTGACTAATACTGCTATAGATTTGTTAAAATAATAACATAGGAAAGAATATGTATTTATTCTTTTAGTTCAAAATGGGTTAAAAGAATGTAGAAATGGTAGAGGCAAAAAGAAAAGAAAGAAGTATCTAGGGAAGTATATGTACCTCTTTGGCCAGGAACAACTACATTTTATGCAAAACAAGAATTTTAATATAAAATAATTTAATCACTTATCTGAGTTTAGCAGAAACCCTTGGCTGATTTCTTACTTTTTTTTTTCTTCCCCTCCCATTCTCCTCCATCTCCTCTCCTCTTCTCTCCTTCATTCTTTCTTCCTTTCCCTACCCATCTCCTTCCTCTTCCCCAATCCTCATTCCTCCCCTCCTCCTCTCCTTTCTTCTCTCTTTATCCTCCCTGCTTCCCTTCCCTCCTTTATTGAATACATTCATTAACTATAAATAGAATCCCAACTGAATTCTATGTTTCTTAAAAAATACACTCGTGTTTCTTATTTTCACAGTGATATAGATGAACAGCAGGAACTTGTTGAAAGGGGTAAGTATACAAACTTTTTACTGATGAATACCTCTCTCATATTTGAGTCTATTCATTTTAAGTAAGAATTCAACATTTTTTATCTAACCTAGACTTCCTCTGTTGATACAATAATGAAACTTAAATTCGTTTACCTATTTATTCAATCAGTAAGTACTATGGATGTCCCAGTGCATGCCAACTATTGTGCCAGCGCTGAATATATGACAGTGATCAGCCACTGACTCTGCTCTTAAAGGGTTGAAAATCCAATAGAGGAAGAGAGAAATATTGACAAATATGACAACAATTTGGTAAATGCCATAGTGGTTGAATGTGTATGTTTCTAGAGAAAGATAGAAGATAGAAGACTGTGAGTGGCAAAGGCTGGCCTCTAAGTCATTTAGGATTGTGGGGACACATTAGACCAACAAATGAGGGAGTGGAAAAACAGATGAAAAGTCATATAGAGATAGAAGTAGTAAGTGTGCTCAACTCCCTGCAAGGGAGGGGTAGTGGCTGTTTCCACAAAAGGCTCATTTAAGGACATGACAAAAGATTGCAATTTGACTTAAGAGAGGAAAAGAAATTCCCCATTTTCCTCTTCTTTTTCAACTTTCACATTATTTCTTTATTTTTTAAATGTGATTTTTGATCTATTAAAGGGGACAGAGGTAAAGATTGAAATTGTTTACAATAATAAAATGATTTGTCTCCTCATATTCAAAACGGGAAAAATGTAAGAACACTTCTGTCTTATTTTAACTTATCTCTGAAAGGTTTCCCTCTGCAAAAGCAGGTACCAAATCATTAAGCAAAAGCTTTAGGATTGGTTCTTTGGAACTTCTCATTGACTTTATTTTCCATTCCAAAATGTATCACTACTCGATTTTGCATTAAATATTTTATTTGTTTATTAACTATCTTCCCTTGACTAGAATGTAAGTTAGAGATGCAAAAGTAAGAAGGTTTTTTTTTTTTTTTCCTCATTTCCCTGCTCTATCCCCAGTACCTATGTGAGTATGTGGAATTCAATAAACGTCAATGAATGCATACATGAATGAGAAGAAATGTTCTGAGGATTAGTTTGGATAGCCTGAGGGAAAAATGAAGAGCACAGAGTAACAAGTACCTGAGCAGAGAAGAGGAATCAATTTTGAGGTGTCAGGGCAGACTAGGGAGTGTCAAAGAAGACTTTTTATCTCAAAGTTCATACTAATTGTCCATTGGCATGCATTAAAACTTACCCAAACCCTATAAAACCTCAAAGGTGACCCTGAGTTCAGAATGAATGAATACCAGAGATTCCCAACAACCCAAAGAAGTGACTGTACATGGCCAATTTGATAACTGTATTTGGATGAAAATTTCTGAAGGCAGTAAGATAAATATGCAACCTTAATGGACATCTTCTTTCACATGTGATGGAGAACATTGACATGAATAGCAGAAACATATTTTTTACGAGGGGGAGGCAGTTTATATTCTCTTAATCTTCTGAAACTGTTGCTTTTTAGGAGCCATACACAATTACGGTTAATATGTATTTTTACTCCTTAGTAAGCTATTAAGCAAGGGTAGCATATAAAGTGTTTCATAACACTTATGAAGGAGGCATAAAAAATGAAAATGATTTGTTAGTAGCTTAGTGTAAAGGGATTAGCAAATTAAACTGAATCCTGAGTATAAGGATATTAATCATATTCTCTTATTTGTCTGTTTACAAAATTTCATGATAACTTTTTAAAAACTTTTTTTTAATTATTTTTTTAAATTTATTTCTGAGACAGAAAGAGAGACAGCATGAGCAGGGGAGGGTCAGAGAGAGAGGGAGATACAGAATCTGAAGCAGGTTACAGGCTCTGAGCTAGCTGTCAGCACAGAGCCTGACTCGGGGCTCTCACCCATGAACCATGAGATCATGACCTGAGCCAAAGTCAGATGCTTAACAGATTGAGCCACCCAGGTGCCCCCAAAATTTCATGATAACTTAAACAGGGAAATAATGAAAGGAAAAAATAGTAACTATAATATAGATAAATAAGTATGGTAACTGTTATATAACATTATGTATTCAAACTTTAGCATTTAGTCAATGAAACACTAATAATAGTATTAGATTTTTTTTAACAAGTAAAGTTACATGCTCTCATTTGTATTTCAGAAGACTAATTTGTAGCAGTTTCAAAGACAAATCAGTATGGGAAACACTAGAGATAAGAGAGGAGTTAGGAAGATGTAGTTACAAGGATGTGGAAGCCTGCCTGCACCTGAGCACTGGCAGAAGGGATGGAAAGTACCCAGTAACCTACTGGATGTGGAGAGGGAGGGAGAAATCTTGTATAACTGTGGAAGTTTGCATCGTAAATTAGTTTGTGAATGGTGATCTTGTTTACTGAGATTTGAAATACTAGAGTAAAGGAAAAATGATTTTTGCCATGGGCATTTTGACTTTGAGGTACATCTGGGATAACCGTATGGAAAATCTGGGAGATAGTCTGAAAAGTTAATATAAAGCCCAGAAGAGGGCTGGAACACAAGGTTTAGGAGTCAAAGGTGAATCTTTGTATGTGACTGAGACTTTCCAGGTAGTATGTGTGAGAAGAGAAGAAGTGAAGGATTAATCCAAGCTATAAATTTAATGAAATTTGTATGAACACTTGAAAGATGGACATAACCCTAGTCATGAATCCTTAATATGTTTAAAGATGATGAAAAACAACTTATGAGTGTGGAGCCAATCCATGCAGATATTTTGTTGGAAACTTATAAGAGGAAGATTGCTGATGAAGGAAGACTGTTTCTGGCTGAATTTCAGGTGTGTGCTTCTCTTGATACATGATGAGAAATTTACTCAATTATGAGGACAACTCCATTTTAAATGTATTCTATAATGATTTGCCTTTATAATTTATCTTAAGTATTACTGCAACCTAGTCAAAGCAGATATTATCAGTAGGTACTTATGGACCAGAAGAGATACTCATAGTCATGAAACTAGTATATATTTCAAAATAATTCATTAGTGTGTCATTATTAGTTATGAAATTGTGTCACAAAACATATTTGGCTGGTTTTGTACTTGTAGTCCAGGTAATTATCCAAGTACGTGTTTTTAAATGAATTTTAAAGAGGTGATTAATTCTGAATTTGCTCTCACTGGTAAGTTTTATTCTCAATGTAGCCTATTATTCATTTTAAGTGTTTTGTTGCATGATTCCTAATAATGTTAATTTCATTTACTCCATACAACTTGTTCATCAACCTAAAAGAAACATGTTCCAGGATGTCTCATTTGCTCAAAATGGTAAGGGGTAAGGGGAAAATTATTTTTCTGGAACTGCTGTGACCCAAAGGATCTTTATGTTTTTCAGAGCATTCCACGGGTATTCAGCAAGTTTTCTATCAAGGATGCTCGAAAACCCTTTAACCAGAACAAAAATCGTTATGTTGACATCCTTCCTTGTAAGTACTCACTGAGAATTGGATTTCCATATATTTAGGCTATTTGATTATTCATTATTTCACTTATTTATATTTCTTTTCTTTGAACAGATGATTATAACCGTGTTGAACTCTCTGATATAAATGGAGATGCAGGGTCAAATTATATAAATGCCAGCTATATTGATGTGAGTAAAAATGCATCTTTCTTTGCCATGGCAAAATTTTAGAAATATTATTAGAAGTAGTTTGAAGTAAACTCCTAATGTCACTTACATAAACAACAAAATCAGTATTATCTGTAGGAATAGTTATTTAGTTATTTATTATTTGTTAGTCATACTATCTATATTATAGAATTATTTTTACCGAAAATGATACTAACAATTAAAGTACTCTGGTGCCTACTATGTGTTGGATATTAAACTACATGATCTTCATATGTATTTCTCATAAGAGCCAGACATTTGCCCCGACCATGTGCACCATGCTCACTGTAGAGGTGAGGACAGGGAGAATCTGGTTAATTAGTTACCCTTGTTCAATCAGTAAAAGGTTGAATTGGGATTCAAGCTCAGGTCTACCTGACTCCAAACTGTTGTGCTTTGGTTATAAAACATTGCATTTCAGCAGAGCTATTCTTCATTAACCTGAGTCATTTGTTCATCATATTTATCGAAAAATAAATGTTGCATATGATTAATTTATCCAAAAGATTCTAAAATGTTATTTATTATAATTGCATAACACATTTTTTAAAAATAAGCAATGTAAAAACAGAGAGACTGAAAACAAACCTTCTTTCCACCCAATCCACCATTTGCCCAATTCCTCCACCTACCACACAAGGTAACTTCTATATTGTTTCTTACTGATCCAGCCAGAAACACCAATATTTGTTCTTCTTCTTTATCCAAAAATGTTAACATAATATTCACATCTTTCTGTGCCATGCTTTAAAACCTGTAAACTTATGTACTATATATAAATGATGCAATAAAGACTTATACTTACCATAATATATATACTTACAATAATATTATTATAAGAATTAATAATATACTTATAGTAATATTATTACAAGAATATGGGTTGGCAAATCCTTTCTATAAGAAGCCAGGCAACATATATTTTAAGTTTTCCAGGACATACTATTTTTGTCACAACTACTTAGCTCTAAAGTTTAGTGGCCACAACTTCCATAGAAAATACACAATGCATTCCAAACTCTTTTTTTTTTTTTTAATCCAACATAAATGGTAGTTTGCTGATCGTGGACATAGAGCATTTTACATCTTTTATAATGTATAAGCCATTCATGGTAGAGCTGCATTGTGATTTAGTTAATAAGTGCCTATTAAACTAAAACATTAATGGACACATTAATGGACATTAAATGTGTTTTCTAATCTTCTGTTACAAACAATGGTTCAATGAAAAATTTTGACTCATTATTTTACAATGGGTTTTAGTATGTGTAGGATAAAATCCTAAAAGAAGAAAAGCTAGGTCAAAGAGAATATACATTTGCAATTTTAAAAGATAATTCCAAATGGTCTTCCACTGGAGTCATACCGATTTACATTCCACCAGCAATATATGAAGAGTGCCAAAAAAATTTCTTGACAAATAGTAGACAAATTATATATTATGCTATATGGTAATTTACAAACTTTTCTTAAAGAAAAAGAATTGAAACTGAGGTTTGCTTATTTCAATCTACTTGAATATATACATTTTTAATGGAGAAGGTAAAACTGTTAAATCATATTTGTATATTTATTTATTTATTTAGATGGTGTATTAGTTGCCTAGGACTGACATAGCAGAGTGCCCCAAACAAGATGACTTAAAACAACATAAAGGTGGGGTGCTTGGGTGGCTCAGTCGGTTAAGCGTCTGACTTCGGCTCAGGTCATGATCTCACAGTTCGTGGGTTCGAACCCTGTGTGCGGCTCTGTGCTGACAGCTAGCTCAGAGCCTGGAGCCTCCTTCAGATTCTGTATCTCCCTCTCTCTCTGACCCTCCCCTGCTCATGCTGTCTCTCTGTCTCACATAAATAAATTAATTAATTAAACAACAACAACAACAACAACATAAAGATATTCTCTCAAAGTTCTGGAGACAAGAAGTCCAAACTCAAGGTGTCAGCAGAGACATACTCCCTCTGAAGGGTCTGGGAAATCCCTCTTTGCCTCTCCTAGCTTCCAGTGGCTCCTGGCAATCCTTGGCCTTCCTAGGCTTGTGCCTGTATCACCCTCGAATGTGCTTCCATGATCGCAAGATCTTCCCCGTATGATTCTATCTCCCTGTGTCTCCTTTCTCTTATAAGGACAACAGTCATCTGGGGCTCCTGGGTGTCTCACTTGGTTGAGCCTACCACTTCTGCTCAGGTCATGATAGTGGTCCATGAGTTCGAGCCCCATGTCAGGCTCTGTGCTAACAGCTCAGACCCTGGAGCCTGCTTCAGATTCTGTGTCTCCATCTCTCGCTGCTTCTGCCCCACTCATTCTCTCACTCTCTCAAAAATAAATTTAAAAAAACATTTTAAAAAAAAGATGGCAGTTATTAGATATAGGGCCCAACCTCAGAAGGGTATAACCTCATCTTCCACAAAGACCTTATTTGAAAATGAACTCACACTCTGACAATCTGAGTAGATGTGAGTTTTTGTAAAATGTTATTCAATCCACTACATGCATATTCTGTAAAATGAAAACGACATTTAAAAATATTTTTTACTTGGATCATTTATGAAACATGCATCTTCAACATTTTTGCAAAAGAAGCAGGGCTAAGCCTTTTCTTCTCAAGTATTCTGTCTGTAGAGACATCACTCTAACCTGTACTAATGTCCTACCTTCCATCAACTTTGTTTGATACATGACACTTTTTGTATACTTGCTTACTGTTGTTCTTGTAAGCTCGATCCCAAGCAATAAATGACATGTGCTCGTGATATTCACAATACGATTTCCTATTTCATTCCTTTTTAATATGATCCTCAAAAGGCTTGTTTATAATCACAAGCAACACTTACAAATGTGAGGTCATAGTCTAAAGATAATTACTAGTACTGTGTCGTAGTTTTGACCTCTTAACCAATTCTGCAGGTGACTTCTGTAGGCTTTCACAATTAGCATTGACAAACTTTATTTCAGTATATAGTGTTTCTTCCAAACATTGTTTTTCAAAGTATAATAATTGGGAGCAGATTGTATAAAGATTTATATAATCTCTTAAAAAAAACCTTAATATTTTCTATTCATATATATGTGGGAATTATGGTATTGAGTTTTACTTATTTGTCTCCAGCAGAGCTAAGAGCTCCTGAAAAGTGTGTCTCAGCTTTTAGATAGGTACTTGACATGTTGTAGCCCCTCAATAAATAAGTGTTGAATGAGTTAATGTATAAGTAATACTATGTCATGAGATAGAAGTTTCAAGAAGTTACTAATATTAATCCTGAATTCTTGTAGCCAACGTAACAATATTTCATCTCATGGGCAAAGGTTATCTCTCTGAAGGGCTTCTCTGATTGTTGAGGTGAATTTAAGGAATATGAGATAATTTGGAAGAAATTAGCACAATCTCTTATTTGCCTCTGTTCTCCTTCTTTGCCTTGGTAATAGGAGTGGAGAAAGCAAATACTGTAGGTAATTAAATTAAAGTCGCTCTTTCTCTTATCTACAATGACAGAAAAGGAGTCTAGGGAATTGGTGGTCTATCCCAGAGCTAGTTAAAAGGTAGATGTTTGAGGATAATTTCACAATGATTTATTGAAAGAAACTGAGTAAAGTCCCAAAAGCAAATATAGGGCTAACAGACAATGCTCTAAGAGTTGCCAGGACATAAAATACAAGAATGTCTGGATTACTTTTGTAAATGGCTACACCATCCCAGATGAGAATGAAGTCTAGTTTTCAAAATTGTTTTGGATATATAGCAAAGACACATGAAGGCCATGAATATTATTTGTGAGTGCTAACACATTTGATGCAGTTTAAAGGGTGACCATGAGTTAATAAAATGCCCCTTATGATTTGAAAATGTCCAGAGAAATCCACAACCAAGAGATGGTGGTTCTAAATTAACTTCCTCTAACTCATGATCTTTTGCACATAAATAAATAATTGAGTGTTCCGTAAATGATATATCTTTGTGTGTTTTTTGAACAGGGCTTCAAAGAACCCAGGAAATACATTGCTGCCCAAGGTAATTTATCTGATAGTCTAAAATTATTCTTGAAAATTGTTTCATAACACTTTAGGAAGATATTTCTTATCAGTTTGTGTTTATTTACTTCCTAGGTCCCAGGGATGAAACTGTTGATGATTTCTGGAGGATGATCTGGGAACAGAAAGCCACAGTCATTGTCATGGTCACTCGATGTGAAGAAGGAAACAGGGTAAGATTCATAGGTTAAAGGTTGGGGTTAGGACAAGGGATACAGAAATGCTGATGCATAGGAGCACATGTACCCCAATGTTCATAGCAGCACTCTCCACAATAGCTAAAACATGGAAAGAGCCTAAGTGTCCATCAAAAGACGAATGGATCAAGAAGATGTGGTTTATCTATACCATGGAATACTACATGGCAATGAGAAACAATGAAATCTGGCCATGTGTAGCAACATGGATGGACCTTGAGGGTGTTATGCTGAGCGAAATAAGTCAGGCAGAGAAGGACAAATATCATATGTTTGCACGTATAGGAGGATTAGGAGGAACTTGACGGAGGAACAAGGGGGAGAAGAAGGAGGGAAATGGTGGGGGAAAGGGACAGAAGCAAACCATGAGAGACTCTTGAATGCTGACAGAAACTGAGGACTGATGGATGTGGGGGGGAGGGGGGATGGACATGGAGGAGGGCACTTGTGGGGATGAGCACTGAGTGTTATGTGGAAACTAATTTGACAATAAACTATTAGAAAAAAAAAGGTTGGGGTTAGGAAAAGAGAGTTTTGAATCACATTTCAAAAACAAAAACACATATATGTGCTGGATGACTAAAACAGACAGTTCTCTATTTTAATCGGTATGACACTTGACTTGAACTTTTTATACATGTAGAAAAATAAATTGTGTCCATACCTAAATAGATGTATAAATGAATAAAATTTAAGTGTTTCTGCTTAATTGCTGGACTTACATTTGAGTCCTATTTCTTTGCACTATTGTTATAAGGTTAGTACATCGCAGTGAAATAATTTCACAAGTATATGTGAATACTTGAAAAAAAACTGTGCTTGGGCAGATAGGTGGCAATTTATGTAATGGGACTTTAGGAAGCATGAAAGCCTCCCTATCTTCCTGCCTGAAATTAACCACATGCAACCACATCATTTCTGCTGACAACCGAGCACATCTCCTTTTAATATGCAGCTGAGCCTGGGAAGATCATCCTCTGGCTACGTAGTATGAAGGAAATCTTTCAGGACCATTAATGGGAAATGGAATACATTTCAAGCATCACAGTTTTAGGTGTATATGTACTTAAAGGAGAATACATGAATATTTTGAGAATTTCAGATGAATAATTTTTGTTCTGTTTTTTAAAGAGTTTTAGTAAATAAATTTGTTTAAGTGAAAAACAAAAATTATTAATATTTTTAATTAAAAATACAGAACAAGTGTGCAGAATACTGGCCTTCCATGGAAGAGGGCACACGGGCTTTTGGAGATGTTGTTGTAAAGATCACCGAGCACAAAAGATGTCCCGATTATATCATTCAGAAGTTGAACATTACAAACGTGAGTTTGTTTTATCACATGTTTTTTTTACAATTTTCATTTGGTTTGTCTAAAAATACAATTATGGAATTAAATGTGAGAAATTATATCTAAGAAAAATTATTTTTAACAGCCTGCGGGAGGAGTTGGGTTAGAACACAAGCCAACAAGGTCAAGTTAAATCACTGGTGAAAGTACTATTTGTCCAAGTCATATCAAAACTTATTTGTAATGCTGTGACTCTTGACATATAAAGAAGAGAGCTCTTTAACTGTGTTGAATAAATGATTGAATTACCAAATGAATGATAAAATGGCCCTTATTCTCTATGGGCTATTACCATTAGGGAAAGAATATACAAATGGCACAATTAAAGATTACTTTAAGAAATACAAAGTACTACGAGGTAAAGATAAAATGTTAGTTCGGAAAAAAAAAAGTGAGGCCTTAGATAATAGTTAAAAGAGAGGTCCTCACACATATTCTAGGATACTGTTTTTATGAAAAATTCCAGAATAAGCAAATTTTTAAAAGTTTATTTATTTGGAGATACACACACACACACACACACACACACACACACACAGATAAGAGTAGGGAGGGACAGAGGGAGAGAGAGAGAATCCTAAGCAGGTTTTGCACTGCCAGTGCAGAGCTTAATGTGGGGCTCGAACCCACAAACTGCGTGATCATGACCTGAGCCCAAATCAAGAGTCAGACACTTAACCGACTGAGCCACCCAGGCATCCCCAGAATAGGCAAATGTATGGAGTCAGAAAGCTGGTTAGGATTGCTTGGAACTGAGCAAGGGGAAGCAGGAAGAGGGATGGCTGTAACCAGTAAGGGTTTCTTTTGGGAGTGGGTAATGAATATGTCCTATAATCAGATAGTGGTGATGATTGTACAACTCTGAGAATATAATAAACAATTTCATACTTCAGGTGAATGAATTTTATGGTATGTGAATACATCTTAAAACTGTTTAAAGATGCAGAAAAGACTTCTCTCAATTGTACATTTCTCCCAAGGCCTTCTTATGTTCCCACAGCATTACTAACTACTATGGCCACAGAGGGCTGTAGAACAGTGGTTCTGCCATCAATAGTTCATGGTTAAATACATGATGGACTCAGGCATGAGACCCCCGCTCCGTTTGTACATATGGGTAATATGTAGATCTGGTTGCATTAATTGGTCTCATTATTAATCTTAATTAATGTAATTATTTACCATCAGAAATTTACAATCACCCGTCTTGTTGTTCCTTCTGTTATCTAAATGTAGATGGTTCTTCTTCATACCAGGTCAGAAAACAATGAATTACTCATCTTGTAGCGATTATCTTGAAGTTGGGACAAATACAAGCTGTAGTCTGGGGCTGACTTTCCTCAGTTGTCTCTCTATAGTCTGAGCTGACCTTTCTAATATAAGACGGCCTAAGAAATATAGCATTAACGGAACAATTAATCAAACTTTCTTCACATGAAGAAAATTTGCTGGCCTACCAAGTGGAAGCATTTCAAAGAGCTGTGAGAATGGCCTTTACTTTATATCTTTTTCCACCCACCCACATTCCTATTTTTTGGTGTGTGTGTTTGTTTTTGCTGTTTGTTTTTGGCATGGCCACATGAAAGTTCCCAGCAGTTTCCGCTAACTTACCGTACCTTGCTTACTATACTGGTAAGTTATTGTTTGCTGATTACTGCATGCCACCCTTGCATGACCCCTCAACTACTGGTTATTAACTGGAAAAAAAAATGTAATAATGGCTGAAAACCTTGCATGAAGAATTTTTGATATTGGTCCCTCCCATACACTCTCCCCCCGACCCCCCGCCCAGTTATTTATATCAGGTAATTTGCTTGGAAAAAAAAATCATCTCAAGGAAAATATTACCTCTCACCTAGAAAAAAGAAAAAGCAACCGGAAGAGACGTGACTCACATTCAGTTCACCAGCTGGCCTGACCATGGGGTGCCTGAGGACCCTCACCTGCTTCTCAAGCTGCGGAGGAGAGTGAATGCTTTCAGTAACTTCTTCAGTGGCCCCATTGTGGTGCACTGCAGGTACGTGAACTCCCACAGCGGGCCCCAGGGCTGTTCCAATTCTTGAGCTGTTAGGAAACAGCCTTCCCTTTGGCTATTGCTATTTTGGAAAATAGTCTGTGAGGAGAAACTTTTGTTTTTTCCTCTGCTTCACTCCCGTTGTCTTTTCACTTCCCCACCATGATCACGCCTTCACTTTGTTTGTTGTTTTGACAGTGCTGGTGTTGGACGCACAGGCACTTATATTGGAATTGATGCCATGCTAGAAGGCCTGGAGGCAGAGAACAAAGTGGATGTTTATGGTTATGTCGTCAAGCTAAGGCGACAGAGGTGCCTGATGGTTCAAGTGGAGGTATGTGCTCAACTTCAGTATCTGTCCTCGCTTTTCCTTTTTGACTGAAATCTTTTTGTGGTAGGAATAGGGATCTTACAAGAAATCCACATTTTTCTCAACTGTAAACAGTGGGTGAACATAGTTTTCTTTTCATTTAATGGAAACTAAATCAATTGATAAGTACCAATTATAGTTAGAAGCATTTTGTGTTGGTGGCTGAAAGTACTGTAGAAGAAGGATGATTATAAACATAAATAAACACTTCAATTAATGATAAAATACCATTTACACATGTCAGAAAGGAAAAACATAAACAAAAACACAGAAAACTAATTTGACAGCATCTCATGAAATTAAAACTAGGGAGATGAGGTAGTATAGTGATTAATAGCCCAGATTTTGGAACTAGGTTCCTATCTTGCTTTTAATTCTTAACGCTATGTACCCTTTCACAAGTTTCTAATGTTTCTGTGCCTTCGTTTAAGTCATCTGTAAAATGGAGATAATGATATGTTTACCCTATAGAGTTATGAGGAAAAGGTAATCCAAGGAAAGTACATAGGCAAGTGTCTGGCACAAGAATGTGCCCAGTTATTATAAGTGATGGTTATTATTGAAAATATCTGCACCTGACCCAGCAATTCCACATGTATGTATATACCCAAAAGAAACTCTTGTAACCGTGCACAACTAGAAATGTGCAAGAATGTGCATTAGGGTAACTGGGTGTCTCAGACAGTTAAGCGCCCAACTCTTGGTTTTGGCTCGCATCATAACCTCATGGTTTGTGAGTTCAAGCCCTGCATTGGGCTCTGAGCTAGGATCCTGCCTGGGATTCTCTATCTCCTTCTCTCTCTGTCCCTTCCCTGCTCACATACGCACACACTCTCTCTCTCTCTCTCAAAATAAATAAATAAACTTTAAAAAAAAGAATGTTAAATTCAGCATTGATAGAGTAGCAAAAGGAAAAAAAAGGAAACACTATATATCTATGGGATACAGGGCAAAAAGTCTGTGGACAGATGGACTCTGCACAATGCACGCTATGCTGCAGTTGAAAAAAATAGTCTTAGTCTGTATCTATCTATCTGGTTAGATGTTCAGATGTAAACAGTGAGTGAATAAAGTCACCGAATGACACGTGTAAGATATCATTTATATTATTTTATTGTATTTATTATTATTTTTTAAATGTTAATTCATTTTTGAGAGAGAGAAACCAAGAAAGAGAGAGGGAGAGAGAACAAGAGCAGAGGAGAGGCAGAGAGAGAGGGAGACAGAGGATCTGAAGTGGTCTCTGCGCTAACAGCAAAGAGCCTAATACAGAGTTTGAACTTAACGAACTGTGAGATCATGACCTGAACTGAAGTCGGATGCCCAACTGACTGAGCCACCCAGGCACCCCAAGTTACAGAATTTTTTTTTAAAAAGCACACAAACTTGTACAATGTTTATAACTACACGGGTGTTAGTACAGAAGTATAAAGATGGATTGTCAGTCTGGAACAAAAGAAAAATCATTTCCTTTGGAAAAAGTAAATGGGCTAAAAGGATACCGTCAAACTCAGGAAACTAGCATTAAAGGTTAAAGCAGCTTGAACTTTATCACAAATTTGTCACCTATTTAAAAATAGTGGATTCAAAAATGACAAAAGTAGTAAGAGTTGTTAAATGTGGATTTAGCATGTTGTGGTTTTTGGATAATTATCTCTATTTTCAGAGATTCTAATTTTTTGTTGATGTTTATTTATTATTGAGACAGAGAAAAACAGAGCATGAGCAGGGGAGGGGCAGAGAGAGAGGGAGACACAGAATCTGAAGCAGGCTCCAGGCTCTGAGCTAGCTGTCAGCACAGAGCCTGACGCGGGGCTCGTACCCATGAACTGCGAGATCATGACCTGAGCTGAAGTCTGATGCTTAACTGATTGAGCCACCCAGGCGCCTCTCAAAGATTCTAGAAAACACATTTTAATGTGCTGTATGGAGTATCAATTTGCTTTTTTTCCTCTTAGATACAGTGTGAAATTTATTATAGTTTTATACACTAGTAATTTGACTTACTGTCTCAATAATAGTCACTGAAGGAAGTAACAGATAATGCTTTCTAGTTTTTAGGAATAAAATGAAAGCTGTGCACTATATAGTTTAATCTGTTTACCAAATATTTTTTTTTCTGGAAAAATGATCTGAAATGGGATTTGCTCACATTCCAGAGAATTGTGAGGGCCAAATTCCCTAATATTCAAATGTAATAGGCATTAGTTTTCTTTTGCAAACATTGTCCTAATCTGAGTAAAATTATAGAGATGTGTAATTTATTTAAATGTGATTCATAAGACTGTAAGTTATAAGTTAATTATCCATATTTTTCTTTAAAATTGTAGGCGCAATATATCTTGATCCATCAGGCTTTAGTGGAATACAACCAATTTGGGGAAACAGAAGTGAGTTTGTCTGAATTACATCCATATCTATTTAACATGAAGAAAAGAGATCCCCCCAGTGAACCATCTCCCCTAGAGGCTGAATTCCAGGTAATAATGTGATAGCAATAATAATAGTTACAAAAGATAACTTTCACTGAAGGTTATTTTCTGGTGTTGTGCTGTACTTTTGACATGGTTCTTGATTTTGGGCCTCACCATACATAACCAATGGAGCACAGATGAGGAAACTAAGACAAAGGGAGTTTAAGAGAAATATCTAAAAGCACACAGTTATTATGCAGGAGACTTGTTTAAGCCTAGACATGTGTCCACAGCCCCTTCTCCCCTTAAACATTTCTCATTAACCTGGTATAAAACAAAGTGTCAAAATAAAAGTGGTCTGCTAAAGGCAATGTAGCATCTCATCTTTTAAAACTACATCTGGTTTTGATTTGTAAAGGAAATCATTAGAGGAGTTTATGACTACTTAGGAAGTTTAACTGGCTGGAGCTGGTAGACAGAAACTAAAGGATAAATACATGTGTCCTAACCTATTTATTAGGCAATTAATCTAGCCAGCCTAGGATGTAGTTCACTTTTAGAGAATTCATGGAGCTATCTCTAGATTGCTCAGGTGTCCAAACAAAATGTTTTGTATCTTATTTCTTTCACTACTGATATCAAGTTTACTGAAACTTTCTGGGAACTACCAAACTGGTCAAGTTGGAGAGTTTCACAAGACCAGGAACATGCTTTTAGTTGGATGCAGAATTGTTTAACGTCTTGGCTCAAAGTAAGGATGAGGTGGAGGGTGGAGGTGGAGCATCTAATAATCAGCAAGTAACACAACGCACCCACCAGAAGACCTGTAGTATCGTGGAAGAACTAGTACATTACCAGAGTAGTCTTGAGTGAAAGGATGTTTAATTGATATTTTCTTGCTCTTTTAACTGATAAATCAACCGTAGTCAGTACATGAACTCTGCTGGCCCACATATATGCTGTTTGGAAACACATAAATGCCATCTAAACATTCTTACGTAAAGTCACTAAAAGAAAGAGTAACTTCTTTCACTGAACAAATATGATTGGGGTTTTGATTTGTTTCAAGTACAATTTTGGGCCTAAGAGTAAAAGTGATTTGTAGGTAGACATAGTGAGAGAGTGGAACCCGGAGACTATAACTGGTGGGAACAGTGAAATTATTCCATCTATGCGTAAAGGTAGAAAGAAGATGAGAGTAGAGATGTTGGCTAGTTGGTAGATTTGGCGATAGGAAGTTGAGGCAGTTCTCATCTTATTGCCTTCTCCTTAAAAAAGGTATGAAGCAAGATGATCAGTTAAAAGTTTATGGGGACAGGAGTGAGAAGGGCAAAGAAGTGTTTATGCTTAAGAAAGGGGAAAGTATATGAAGTAGCTATATTAAAGTAGAAAGCCATCTCCCTACGCAAAGATTGGAGAATCCTGGAAATTGTTGTTGGGACTCTGTTTCGTGTTTTAAAAGGATTAGAGCAAGAAATATTGAAGATAAAGAGGCCAGTTAATAAACTGTTGATGTTTTCAAGTGAGAAACGAAAGTGGACTGTACTAAGTAGAAAGAGAGGAAAGCAAAAGGATTTGAGAGCTTCACCAGCAGAAATGATTGGTCTTGCTGACTGATTAGCAACTGTGAGTGAGAGGAAAAGCAGTAGGGAAGGAATAAACAAATGAATTATGAATTATTTGAAGCCTGAGCCTTCTCTTGTGAATGCTGTATCTGGAGAATTTATTTCTGATCATTTAAAATAATTTCCCATTACCTTTTGCAATATGGATAATAATCAACATCTGCATAGTGCTTCAACTTATACAAGAACAAACCATGCTCTTTTGTTTTCCAACAGCTCTTACGTAGGAAACATATTTTGTTATATAATTGTATACATTTAGTTCAAAACTTCCACTTAAAAAATATTAAATGCTTGAACAATTAAAAGGAAAAGTTGAGAGGCAAAGGTAAAAATTGTGAACTCTAGGGAATGTATGCATATTTCACAAAACTTGATGAAATACTTTTCTTTAGGAAACATCTTATGTCACAATAATAAACAGTAGCAATATTTACATTTTAAAAGGAGTGTTCCATTCTATTTTGTACCCTCAGAGACTTCCCTCATATAGGACCTGGAGGACACAGCACATTGGAAATCAAGAACAAAATAAAAGTAAAAATAGAAGTTCTAACATCATTCCATGTATGTAGTTCATTTTATGCTATTTTTTTGTATCAGATAAAATTAAACTCTCTTTTGGACTTGTTTAATGTAAGATGTACACACACCAAGTTATTTTGAAGCAAATTTTCAACATTGGATTGACAGTAGAGTATAGCTAATAGGATGTTTAATTTAAGTATAGCAAATTTTTTGAACCCCAAACATTCACAGTGGACTTTGGAGGATAGACTATATTCAGTATATTTTTTCTACTAATTATTTCAGAAATGGGTTGTCAGAAAAACATAATCTCTGAAACTAGAAGAAAAAAAGGCCTAGTCCTCTTTTCTAGTTCTCTCTCATCTTTAGTTAATTTCAGTTGTTTGCTTCAGGGTAATTACCAATAGCAAAAATTATTTCTTTTTTTTTTCTTTCTGTTTTCTCTTTACCCCTTCCTTCTATCTGGGAGATTGATAGTGAGTAGAAACTACCTTATAAACTGTTAATCATCAAATTTAACAGGTCAACACATGTACAGTTTCAATACTTGAATTCTGTTATTTAAGAATGATGATAGGATCATGTCTGATAAAACTAGAATTTTATTCATTGGCATAACCTAAAATTAGCATGGAGAAAATATCCCCCAAACTAATAAACTAGACAACCTAACAAATCATGTCAGTATGTGCTTGACCTACTTAATTTCTGATGTCCTTATAAATATTAGTTCAAAAGCTAGAGTTGATGGTTATCTAGCTAATCAGATCATTTGATCAGGATATTATAGATTAAATAAGTTGAGAAAGTGAGAAATTAGGCAACTAAATAATTTTCTTAATTGAATAATAAGTCACCTGAGATACCTATTTAATTAAGATGATTAATTTGATGTTATTGATATAATTGAGAAATTAGGTTTCTACCTAAACTATGTATCTCTTTAATATATGTATTATATTATGTATATATATTTAAATTTATATCTATCCAAATGATGATATTTCATGGAAAACTAAATCATATGTGCAAAGATTCAATGATATATAGAATATTATGATCTATCTGTTGTTTAACACAGAGTTATATCCAATATTTTTCCAGAAAACTTTTATGGATTAGACTTAAATCTAAATTAGATTTCATTTTTATCATCCGTTAATCAATAAGAACTGAATTTTATGTAGCGTCTCATTTCTTGTAGATTAGTGTATTTATACAATACAATCTGTGTCTCCTCTAATTTCTACATGACAATCAAGCAATTTGACTTTTTAAAGAAAGATTTACTACTAATTTATTTTACATAGATGACTTTAACAGAGTGCCACTTAAACATGAACTAGAGATGAGCAAAGAGAGTGAGCATGATTCAGATGAATCTTCTGATGATGACAGTGACTCAGAGGAAACGAGTAAATACATCAATGCATCATTTATAATGGTAGGTACTTAAATTTCCAAAACTCAGAGTCTAACCCTTTAAACAATCTACTATATTATTATGGACATTTGTTAAGTGACTTTATAAAAGAATTATGAGCTTAGCCATAACTATATATTGATTGACAAAAAGTGCCAATTTTTAATAATATATTTTAATTTACTGAAATAATTAAAGATCTCAAAACCTAATAGGTTGATACAAAATAAAACAATGCTTATTAGTTATAATTTATGACAAATATGACTCTTCATATTGGTCTGAAAATTAATACAGTATGAGAAAATACATCAATTAAGTAGAGACATGATAAAAGAGAATTTGAAATGCTTATGTATTTTGTTTTTCAACCACATTAACTTTTTTAAAAAAATTTAATATTTTATTTGTTTTTGAGAGAGGGATAGAGACAGCATGAGCAGGGGAGGATCAGAGAGAGAGGGAGACACAGAATCCAAAGACAGGCTCCAGGCTCTGAGCTAGCTGTCAGCACAGAGCCCGACACAGGGCTTGAACTCATGAACTGTGAGATCATGACCTGAGCCGAAGCTGGACACTCAACTGACTGAGCCACCCAGGCATCCCCCACATTAACTTTTTTAAACTTCTTTTTGTAAGGGAAAACTTGTCAGTTTTGTTAAGATAGTTTGTTCTAAACTTGATTTCACACGATTAGCTGAGTATTATCATAAACTAAATAAGTGTTTTACATAAAGATATCACATTGTTTCTAGGGCCTAAGTAGCTTAAGGTTGTTATGTAACATCATGGATATCAAATTGAGTGAAAATACTCCCAAATAGTTATTTTAAGAACCCATTACTCTCTCACCAGTTAGCGAGAATAACAGAATCTCTCTCTCTCTTTCCATCTCTCTCTCTCTCTTTCTCTCTTTTAAAGAGTTACTGGAAACCTGAAGTGATGATTGCTACTCAGGGACCACTAAAAGAGACCATTAGCGACTTTTGGGAGATGATATTCCAAAGAAGAGTCAAAGTTATTGTCATGCTGACAGAGCTGATGAATGGAGACCAGGTTTGTGCTTTTCAGAATATTTTTTGTCTTTCTGTCATAAAATATCATTCTTTATTCTTGGATTACTTGCTTGATATACCCAAGTACTTTTGACTCTTCTGTCACATAGTTGTGTTTGTTCATTCTTACCATCTTCCATCCCAGTGTTGGCCTCCAGCAACTCAGGTCTGTCATCTTTCACGTGGCCTTTCTCTAGTCCGGTACACCATCTGTGGATCATCTTTGTTTGTTTGTTTGTCATTGTTGTCTTGTTTTATTTATTTGAGACAGATTAGGGGAGGGGCAGAGGGAGGAAGGCAGAGGATCTGAAGTGGGCTCTGTGCTGATAGCAGAGAGCCCCATGTGGGATTTGAACTCATGAACCGTGAGCTTATGACCTGAGCTAAAGTTGGATGCTTACCTGACTGAGCCACCCAGGCACCCTCTTCTGCTGATCATCTAATCCACAGCAGTTTCTGTGTCAAACAACTAGGTACCAGTACATTTCCCTTCTATTTTCTTCAAGATGAAAACCAGACTCCTCATTTGATATTTGAGACCCTCAATAACCAGACAGTCATATATCTTTACCTTTTCTTTATATTATTATGTTTGCCATAATTTCTATTCTGGACAAGAAGATTTCCTGACTGAATCTTAACACACCATCTGCATTTTTATCACTGAAACATAGTTTACTGGCATTTCATGTATCTAAACATGCCCTCTATCCCCATGCTGATCCTTTTCTTCTAACTTAGATAGAACTCCTGAAAAATTTATCTAAATCCTGCCTTCCTTATGTTCATGTAATATTTAGTGTTATAAAATTCTATAGTTTGACATGTACCTAAGATCTAATTTGATCTGCTTAATGCCTATGACATGCATTTGATCTTCCCCTTAATACCTTGAGTTATCTAAATTTCTCTGGTAGTATATTTTACTTAGTTTTAGCACCTAACACATTGTCTGTCATATGTTAAAGCTTATTTAATGAACACTCTCAGAAGTTTGCAGTTATATGTGTTCTCTTTTTCTCTGTCTTTTCTATTTCCCTATCCTTGGACATAGAACTTTGTTTTTTATTTTGTGGAATTTTTTTTCTCTTTCTCTGTTTTTAAATAACTTGTTCAGAATTCCAGCATGGCATTCTAGCAATTTTTCTTTCATCTAAATTATGAAAACCAGAAAATGAAATGGCAGTTTAGGCATTTGCCTGTTGTTAGCAGCTGTGGGACGACAGTTGGTACTGAACCATTTGCAGAGAGAGAACACACTTTTGTGGTCCACAGACTCTTCAATCTGACCCTTTACTTAGATATTCAGTTTATTTATATAAAGCTGCTCATGGTGTGGGTCATCAAGATACAGAGACAAAGCACTAAAGGATGAAGTCTCCTTCTTCAAGGACCACTGAAGGGACAGTGAGACTGGTTATCACAGGGGTCATGATCAACATCAGCTCAACCTATAAATTTTGAAGAGGTGATAATAAGGGTATGGAAAGGAGAAACAAATTTCAAAGACCTACACTAGCAGTGACAGAGCCATTTCTGTGATGTCCTGGTCACTTTGGGTATTTCTCAGTTCCCTTGATTTGCACAAGCAAACACCAGGTATTGTTGAATGGATGTCCAAGATACTTAAGATAGATTTTAGAGCTTTAGGGGCAGCTTTCAATTTTAGAACACAATTAGTCATTTCAATTTAATAGAATGGAAAGAAAGAAAGAAAGGAGAGAGAGATGGAGACAGTAAGAGATGATCTGAATATATTATGAAACAAACAGAACACTTGTGGAGAAGGTATTGATTCATGCTCTTTCTTATCTAGGAAATCTGTGCTCAGTACTGGGGAGAAGAAAAACAGACATATGGAGATATACAAGTTACTATAAAAGACACCAACCAGTCTTCAGCTTATACCCTCCGTGTATTTGAACTGAGACATTCTAAGGTACATAAATAATTTCAAGAATATATATTTTTGATGGGATGATTGATCTGGTAGAAGAACTAATATACATTACTCTCTAAAAGTAAAGCAAATTTTATATAATGTTTTATTATAACTTTAAGATGAGTTAAATGAAAGTAATTGTGAAGAAAATGTGACTATCAAATTATTAGATGGACTGAATCTTACTTGAGTTAATTTTCTCTTCTGGTTTTAGAGGAAAGATGCTCGGACTGTGTACCAGTACCAGTATAATAACTGGAATGTCAGTGAACTTCCTCCAGATCCCAAAGAATTAATCTCTATGATCCAGAATCTCAAGGAAAAACTTCCCAAGAAGAATTCCACTGAAGGATCCAAATATCACAAGAATGTACCTCTCCTCATTCACTGCAGGTGGGTGGGATTTCATAAGATATTCTCTAAAAAAAATCTTCATAATGCTTGACTTCATGGTTCAAGTATCCTAGATTCTATTTATCCTAATACGTAAAGTGCATGACCACATTGAAAGCCTCTTGTGGAATCAGTCACACTCTCAGTTTTGCTCCCACAGCATAACTCTTATAGAAATATGATAGCAATGACAAAATTATAGTGTAATAGTTTTAGTCTGTAAGTTTCATACTACCAGGGTCATATCATCTTTGAGTCCCAGTGCCTATCACTGAATCTGGAATATCATATGTCCTGGATGAATTAGTGAATGAATGGAAGGATGCATGAACAGACAGATGGATATTACATCTTATTTACGCTTTTATGCATTGATCCACTCTATTAGGTGTTAACAGAATCCAGAAGAATGAGTACTTTGCCATCAGCAAACATATCTCAAGTTATATATTAATTGAAAGACTTTAATAAATATCCTGCTAATAACATATTCTTTAATTTAAATCTTTATTATAACATAACGTGCTTCTCACAGATAAATTATCGAGTTGTCCTCTTTTTAATGAACAATTTCACCAGGTATCATTTTTCTACACGTGCAAAAATGTGAACATTTGTAAAAAGCATAAGAGAAGCAGAAGAGAGAAGGATAAAAAGCATGTAGTCTATTGGGTCCAATATTTCTGGCTTTCTTGATTTGTAGCCATGTCTTCATTTTCTCTAAATCTCAATGTCCTCATCAGCAAGTTAGAATTATGACATTTATACTAATAGTGTCAGATGTACTAAAAATGCATTATAATCTATAAGGTACTAAACAGAAGAAAAAATATGTTTAAAACCTAAGACAAGTACTTTTTAACTATAAGTACTTTTTAACTATTTATTAACTATATTCTCAAACTGAAAAAGTTTGTCCAAAAAATGGTTTTGGCAGAAATGTTTTGCTCTTATGAGATTGGAATACTATAATTACAATAAACATGAAGTGAATAATGCACTCTTTCTCTTTCAGTTTTTATTCTAATATCACTTTCTCCATAAAATGTAGAATTCTTTTCTTTTTAAATCTTTTCTTCCTTTTGTAGAGATGGATCTCAGCAAACAGGACTATTTTGTGCTTTGTTAAATCTCTTGGAATGTGCAGAAACAGAAGAGGTGATAGATGTTTTTCAAGTAGTAAAATCTCTACGCAGAGCTAGACCAGGAATGGTTCCCACATTTGTAAGTAGACTTTACAGCTGTTTTTGATGTGTTTCATATTTTTATTTTGATGGTTTCTTCTCTCTTTCCTTCCTTCTCCCTCTTTTCCAATCCTCTCCTTTCCTTTCCTTTTCTTCTCTTCTATTCACTCTTCTATTCTTTCCTATATTCCTTTTTTATATGATAATTCACATTATATTAATATAAAATTTTTAATGTGTATTTATTTTTGAGAGAGAGACAGAGTGCAAACGGGAGAGGGGCAGAGAGAGAGGGAGACACTGACTCCAAAAAAGGCTCCAGGCTCTGAGCTGTCAGCACAGATGTGGGGCTCGAACTCACAAGCTGTGAGATCATGACCTGAGCCAAAGTCAGAAGCTCAACCAACTGAGCCGCCTAGGTGCCCCAAACTATTATTAATATAAATAAGAGAGCTAACTGGAGCTTGCTAGCAATTTGTTATGGAAATTCATGTAGGACATTTCTTCAAGTGCTCATGAATTCTCTAATTTCCCCCATCTTTACTCCTGTATTAATTTGTATTGCTGTGTAACAAAGCACTCCAAAATTAGTGGCAGAAAAAAAAAAACACATTTATTATAGTTCAATAGTCTATTGGAACAACTAAATACCTTTGCCAGTGACGTCAGGTTCAGCCCATCTGGACCAGGCTCACTCATAGGTTTGCTGCTGCTGCTGTGTCTACTAGGCTTTGGCTTGTCCAAATGATCTCTACTACCAGCAGACTGGCAGTCGCTGGCATTTAGTTCTGGCAACAGAGATGAGTAGAATGCAGGTCTCTGGCTCTAAAAGACCAGTCCACACATAATCACACAAAAGCGGTAGAATTCCAAGGAGTAGGGTGGCAGCGTGTGACACCCCTGAGGCCCCGGCTTGGAACTGGCACAACCTGTCCTCCTCTGCATTTTCTTATGTAAACAAGTCACAGGGCCAGCTAGCTCAGCTTCAAGAATAGGGAGATCAACTCCACCTCTTGTCGGAAAGATCTGCAAAGTCACATTGAAAAGAAGTGTGGATTCAAAGAGGATAATAAGTGTGGCAGTTTTGTAATAAATCAAACATGGATTTTCTGCAGCTAGTAGAGGGCCGTTTGGAAATTAATAACCAATCACCATATAAACTTAGCTATGCACTCAAATATATGCAGCTTTTAATTATGTATGACATTGAGCTTGCATATATTGATTTTAAAAGTGTACTGAGTGCCTCTCATGTGCTCTTGCCATGAAGAGACTCACTGTTTAGGGTGACGAAAATGCAGATATTTATTTAACAACGTAGTAGTTGAAATGACAGAGAGTATAAAAAGGACATAAATGAGAGCACTTAATTTAACCTACGGGGATCAGGATAGGCTTTCTGAGCATTAACCTCAGAGAATGGCATCATGGGCTAAGTCATGGAAATGAGATATCTCGTGGCCTGTGAGGGGAATGAACAAGTAAGCATGAGCAATACTTCCAAGTAAATTAATAGTTCTTGCTAATTTTCTCTGATATGAAAATAATTACATAAACCTCTTTTGTACTAATTACATGAGCTTTCTTGCTTCTTTCTTTTACTAGGAGCAATACCAATTCCTATATGATGTCATTGCTAGCACCTATCCTGCCCAGAATGGACAAATAAAGAAAAGCAACAATCAAGAAGATAAAATTGAATTTGATAATGAATTGGACAAAGCAAAACAGGATGCTAATTGTGTTAGTTCATCTGGTACCCTTGATAAAGCCAGTGAAGGAAATAAAGAAGATGAAGGTGCTGAAATCACAAGTAGCCCTGAGGAGCCAGAACATTCCGCCAATGGTCCTGCAAGTCCAAGTTTAACTCAAAGTGCATAGGAAAAGATGTATACAGGACTCATTGTGTTGTATTGTTTCTTTTTTTCTAGGAGTAGGAAGACAAAATAGATATACAGTGGATTAATGAAGTGCATTGGACCAATATTTGTGAGAAGTTTCTATTTTACTAGAGTAGAAACATATTTAAGACAGTTTTGCTAAAATGTTTTGTACAGTCTTTTGCATATTTTAAAATTTTACCCACCTTGCAACAAAAAATAACTTCTTTATACTTTGCGTGCGTGTGTGTGTGTGTGTGTGTGTGTGTGTGTGACAGAGACAGCAACATGAAGGGAAAGAGAGAGAGGATGCTTTTAAGTGAATTTAAGTGCTTTTGAGAAACTTTGCCTTTTTTTGAAGAAAAAATACATTTTATATTGAACATATTAACTTAGCTTACAGGACCTATTTTTCAAATCATAAATTGTGTGTGGGATCTAAGAATAAAATGTACATTTCTAGAATGACCTCAAGATGTCCTCCTTGTTCTACTCATATATATCTTATGGTTTACTGTTTTACTTCTAGAAATAGACATAAAAGTAGTGTGTGTGTATGTGTGCGTGTGTGTGTGTAGTTACTACAAGAAAGTTAACTATATTAACATTTGGAAATCTTACATTCCATATGTTAGCATTTAGTTCATATCTTTCAAGCTCATTTAATCTAATTTAAAAATTTCAAGCAAGCCTATCTTGTTATATTCACATGGTGTTTATAATTTTGTAGCATGGATTAATCTCTGTAAAATATGTGAAATTCATTGCTTGATACTTTTGACCAAAAATTTTGTGTGTTGCAGTTGAATTTAAATAAACATCTTTAAACAAATCCAATATATATTAATGTTCATAGGATAAAAATAGAATTATGCAAATGTAATTGTGTGAAATATTTACATTTGAAACCCAATCTAGCTATTTTTATCGAATGGAACCCTAATATGAGAAATGTAACATAACACATGCATATTTTCCTTGTTAAATTTCATCCTTGCCTTTCACCCGAGTACATTTATTTTGTTTTTATCCATTTCATTTTACTTTATTTTAATTCCAGTATAGTTAATATACACTGTTGTATTACTTTCAGGTGTACCTATAGTGATTCAATAATTCCACACATTATCCAGTGCTCATCACAACAGAAGTGCATTTACCTTGAATTTCTCAAATGCATAGACTACAATAGTCAAATTATGGAAAGAGCCCAAGTGTCCACTGATTGATGAATAAAGAATATGTGATATATATACACAATGGAATATTACTTAGCATTAAAAAAAGAATGAAATCTTGCCATTTGCAACGATTTGGGTGGAGCTAGAGAGTATTATGCTAAGCAAAATAAGTCAGATAGAGAAAGACAAATACTATGATTTCACTCATATGTGGAATTTGGGAAGCAAAGCAAATGAGCAGAGACACAAGAGAAAGAGAGACACACAAAACAAGAAACAGACTCTTAGCTACAGAGACCAAACTGATGGTTACTAGAGGGAAGGTAGGTGTGACGATGAGTTAAATAAGCTATGAGTACTAAGGAGGGCATATGTCATGAGCACAGGGTGATGTACGGAAGTGAATCACTATATTGTACATCTGAAACTAATATTACACTGTGTATTAACTAACTGGAATTTAAATAAAACTTAAAAAAATTCTCAGACTGCTTTTTACCAGAGATTGACATGAATAATCATAATAAAATCCAATCATTATCCTTTCTTATATGTAACATATTGTGTTCCATGTTCATATATGAATCACATAAGCACATACTAAATAGAGGCTTCATGCAATGAACATTTGTACAACAATTTCACATGTTTTAATTGCTTTAAAAATTCATGATCTAATAACTGCTTAGGATCTATAAAACAATTAAGAAAAATGGTATTTTTCAAAAAGTAAAGAAGAACACTCTTTTTGGTGAATTCTGCATCAGCATATTACATTAGTCCCACACTACCTTTAGATTGGCTCAGTTTTCTGTACCTCCACTCTCCTGACTGATTTTAAGTGTCTTAACTATGTATCATCAATTTCTTTCCATTCAACTCAATTTATCTTGTGTTCATCTTTCTAATTCTTTTTTTGGACATGTGAAATTAGCAATCAATTATTACATTATTATTAACATGTGAAAAGGAGTGAATTTTAGAATGAAACAATAGTTTCTAATTTAGATTGAGTTTACTATCTCCTTACCTATTAATGAGAAAAGGGGTTGAGAATCATCCATTATAGATACCAGAAAGAAATAAAGCTTGTTTTCTCTTCTATCATTAATCACCCAGACTTTTATACCTTGGTTTCTCCAACTGAAATGTGATCTATTGCCATTTACTAGATAATGCTAAAATGTACAGTTTTAATATGTAGTAATCTAGTGTTAACTGTGATTATTTTATCTGTGAGCTGCTTCAAAATACAAACAACAAAAGTTTTAAATTTTAAATAGTCTACAAGCAAAGTTTTAGTCTCAGGTTTCAGTTGCAAGTGGCATCTTCCCAGTGTAGATGCCGTGTATTTTTAATGTGTATTTTCCACTTGAGTCCATCCTTTTGAGAAGATGCAAAATAAATACTTAGAAAATAGAACCATGGTAGTTTCTATTAGTTTAAGAAGCAAGCTGGAAACATTTCTGTTTTCTTCTTCAAATGAGAAGAACTGGTAAAGGAAGAGATAGAATTGAAAGTCAGAAGGCCCATAAGTCTTTGTGAATATATACCAGTCAGAAGGTAGGGCTCATTACATTAGAACATGGAATTATATGTCTAGGATTTTTATTTGAAAAAAATAATGTGTACATTATAGACACATGTAGATGACTATGGGTTGCGTTCCTAGAGAATCTCTCATGAGGTACAAAAGACTCATTTTCTAAAGTTTGGTACTGCCATTAGTCATTCCAAGAGCTAGTTAGAAAAATTAAGTGCGAAGTTTCAATTTAATAAAATCTGGTCTATTTTAGGGATAAGGCTATGGATCTCATTGTATATTTATTGGGCTAAAAGAGACTAGGTTATGTTTCTTTTAAAGTTTATGTTATTTCTGGTACCAGTAGTCATTGAAAATAAAAGATGCATTTACTATTCTTAAACTTCAGTTCCCAAGGTGCACCTGAATGGCTCAGTCGGTTCACTATCCAACTTTTGATTTCAGCTCGGGCCATAATCTCACCATTTGTGATATCGAACACCATTTCGGGCTCTGCACTGACAGTATGGAACCTGCTTGATATTCTCTCTCTTCCTCTCTGCCTCTTACCAGCTTATGCTCTCTCTCTCTCCCTCTTCACTCAAAATAAATAAATAAACATTTAAAAAATCTTATAAAAACTTCAGCTCCCAAGCCATTAATTTATTACAGTGATAAGTATTTTCAGAAAGTAGATATACATTTCAATAGCCCCTTGAGATTATAAAACTGTGTGTAGTGATTAATTGAGTGTTTTTGGAATGATAATTTTAGAAGTGTAAACTTCTACCCAAAATTCTAATACATGTGCAGTGAAATTTTCATATCTAATTCTGCTAAAAAACACCAAATATAAAGTTTATTATTTCTTTTAACTAACTAGGACTGATCTTAATTTTTTAATTTACACTGGAGATTTGTTATAAAATGTTCTCGTTGAACTATATTAGGTCAAAATAAATGGGTAGTAATTGCCCCTGCTTGATTGTAACATATTTCTTGATATGAAGACTTTCAAATGTGTAACTTCAAAGGAAAAGTATATTTGTTGAAATATAGGTAGAAAAGGCTGTGTTTTCATTCGCTTATACAAATTTTACAACAGGAACCATCTGAAAGGTTCTTCAAGGAGACACATTCAAAATTCGGCTCTTTTGTTTCCTATTTCAGGTGAAAAGATTTATTTTGCTAAGGGTCCATTTTCTGTAATCATTCTTCTGTAAACCTCTTAACATTTCTCTTTACATTTCCTTGGCAAATACATTGAGGTTTTTTGTTTGTTTGTTTTGTTTTGTTTTGTTTTTTGTTTGTTTGTTTTTGTCTTTGGTTCACTACCAGCCCAAAGGGTATGCGTGCTATGTCATTACTTTTAAACACAAAAATAAAAATTATTGTAATACATAATGTTAATTGAGGCATAATACATGCCTGGCATTTTATTAATTGTTTTACCTGCATTTGTTTATCAAGAAAAATTCTATAGAGCACAGACTCTTTTCTCTCCATTTTATAGACAAGGACCTGAGATTTAGAAAAGTTGGGTACCTGGCCTGTTGTAACACATATCTAGTAAGTGACAGACCCAGGATTTGAACTGGCTCTTACTGGCATCATAAGCTATGTTCATAACCTTTTGCCCTTCTGGGTCTGAGTATCAAATTCATTTGTGTGTTTTGAAAAGTTAGTGAAGAAAATAATCTGAATGTATTTTCTGTCTTTTCTTTATCTGTGATTACAACAAAAACAAAAACAAAACCACGTGTAACATACACTCTCAACAGCACTTCACAGGATAGTAAACTTAGCTGAACTCATAACATTGAAGTTATTATACAAAATAAACACACTCTTAAACATCCATGGGAAAGGATTGTTCTCATAGTACATATAAACAAAGATCACCTCATCGCTAAAGTGAGTGCCAGGAAATAAAACACAACAGTAAATCACAAATGTCACTGTTCCATTGTCTTTCGATTTGGTAATCAGAACAAGTTCTTACTGTTTGGATCACATTTCAGTATGTTTGTCAGAGGACCCATCAATCAGTATTTGAAACAAGTTAACAGGGCACCATAAAATCCAAACCACATTTATGGGGAGTATGACTCATTCACTCTCTCTGGTAAGTGAGTCCAAGGGAGCTTGGTTCTTAGGACCCAGCTGTCCCCAAACTTAGAATGCCAGGTAACTGGAAATGGATTTTCCATGTGAAATCATACATGCATTTCCCTCTAGAAAAACCAGTGCTTTCTTGGTTCATATATACCTTCTCATCATAGTAAAAGTGGGACCTCTGATATACATATTTAATTTTCCACGAAAGGAGGGCTTACTAGGTTCAT